GGATGGATTGCGGCCGTGGAGGGTCTTTAATGGAGGAAGGGGGTGTCTTCGGATCAGATGCGGAGGGGTTTTCGGGATCAACATCTCTGCGCGTCGTGTGAGGGACCGCAAGAGATGTTCCCGCCAACAAAGCCAAGAGTCTGAGAGATGTGACCTTCATGATATTGAAGTGTATAATAGGAAAGTATATAGTGGGGGAAGTGCTGCTGAGGTCTTCTCTGTCGTCTCTGTCGATTGAAGTCGTTGTCGTTGACTGAAGTCGTTTCTGGTGTCTTTGTTGTAGTCTTACGACTGTTGCAATGAATACTCAGAAGATTAAAGAAGAGGTTGAGGATGAATTTCTGGCTTTCCCATTGATGATTATTCAAGTAAGATATATATACCTTATCCATCCACGAAGTCTATGTAAGAGAAGAAGAGTTCAATGTTGCTATGCGTGCATCGACTCCCAGCCGAGCAACTGAGCTGAGAGCCGTCAGCCTGAAAGTGGACTTCCATCTATTTACGAATCTCACAGCCCCTTGAACCTAAGTGTTCTAACACCATCAAGATGAATGGCCAAGGCCAGGATGGGGGCATATTTTCCCCAGGAAAGCATGGTGTCCTGCGTGGTAGAGGCAAAGAGTGCGAAAAAGCCTGGCCCCCAGTCTCAGCTCCGAGCGCCGTGCCTCAAGATATGATACATCTTGGAATTGGTGGAATCTGTAGTGGACATTTCAGAAGGTCGGCAGCGCTTAAATCGGGCCTCTCCTCTTTTTTGAGCAGTTTGCCGCCTGCGAGCACACCTTGTGTTGCGAAGGATAAGGCGCAATTGCTGCTTAGCAATTGTGGTTCCACTTTTGTAACACCTTGTTGACTGAAGGATGACTCTGATGGAGACATTTATGATGGGGGCCAGGATAGATCACGAAGACACCTGTATGGCTAGCCTATGACATAAAGAGGGCAAAAGCTGAGCTGCAATACTGAATACCACCATGGGGCTGGCTGGTGCACACAGCCCCTCTGCGACCAGGAGAAAACGCATGGTGTTGGAACCCCATCACGAATAGCCACTCGCGCACCAATCAGTTCATCGACACAGCCACGCGTTGCAACACATCCATTATTTAAGCACCAACGCCAAGTCAAGATCCGCGGTGCGCATTTGAAATCACGTGACCCGCAGTCGTCGCTACGCTCCGTTTACAGGCAGGACCAAAAGCCCAACGGTGACGAAACAAACGCGGCAATCAACAATAAACACCTCTTCCACTCTTAGCTAAATTTCGACATCATCACCATTTCGGACAACACGACGACATCATGTCCGTTCAGATACATGTGTCCCGTCTTTGCCTTTTCTTGCTGCTCATAGTTGCGGCCGCCGCGGCAGCATCATCATTGTCCCATCCACCGGTCCCTGGCGTTGGTTTTAGCCTCACACCAGACTATGGGTACGAGACCCCAAAACGCCCTCCGAAGCCGATTTTATTGACGCATTTTCTAGAACCGCAGCCATCTACTTCCAGAACGGGTCCCACGTAGAAGTGGCCCGGATCGAGGGAAGCCCAGCGTACAAGTCTTTCATGCGCAAACACGACAACACCGCATCCATTGTTGAAGACGTAACCGGCATCTCCTTGCTGCGCAACGCCGTATGCCCTCCACTTCAGCCGCTCGGCCTTTCTATCTGCGAGAGGGACCCCGACTTCGACAGTTGCCAGGGCCTTTTGCGGAGTCTACAGTCATCGGTCGCGTCTTACCTAGGCACGACATTTTGTTATGCCGGCGTAGTCGTCCCTGACCAGACTTGGCAGTATCAAGACTACATTATCAACAAAGCAATCAAATCAGTCGGCCTCCGTCTAACCCACCGGGTCTTGGGCGCTGCGAAGTTGGTTATGTGGGCCAACCACATTAATAACCCAGGCTCACCGCGTTACGAAACGCAAGCCGTGCTAGCAGTGGATTACAGCGACTCTGGGCTGAATGTTAATCTATTCGCCGACGACAAAGGAGTTGCGGACGTTTTACGCCAAGTCTACGACCAGCAACTTGGCGCGGATCGTCGGGAACAGCCCGGCCATCTTCAAGCCGTCAAAGCCTTACTTACAGAGGTTACTAAGCTACCATTGGGAAATGATCTTTACGGACACCCCATGCCAGATAAGATCCAACGAGTTGTTCTTTATGGTGATGCAGTAATGGATGAAGGATTTCTTGATACGTTGAAGGCTGTTGTTGGTGTGGACGTGGTCGACAACGCCCGCCCCTTCGAACCCGTCTTCGCGGCTGCGGTTGGTATGGCGACGTCTGCTTTCGAACGTGAGAACTGGCTGGACTTCAACGTGGAGCCTGCTTTCGGATGTCGCTGGCGATCGAGGCTCTATGATCCCCCGAGTGAGGAACTTTAGCCACATCAACACATATTCTGGTCATTAGAAGAATATATCCCTGCTTTTCCTGTGCTTAAACCACGACGTTTTCAATTATGTTCACTAGCACCGTCGTCATCTTTATCGTTACCGCTATTATTGTCGCCGCCCTTATCACTTTCCGTCCTACTACCATCCTCATTGTAATCACGAAGTGCACAGCAAGTATTGCCGCCCAGACTCAGGAAAGTTAGGCTGTCTCTACGAGAAAGCATTCCATCGATTGTCAGGAACAAAATGGACCCTATATGCAGAAGCATTCATATGCGGTCGTATGCGAAGAAGGCAGCGGGGAAGCGTGGAGCCCCAGGATTAGTCCGGAGCCGTCGGAATTGCGGACTACTCCGTGATGTACCGGCCGGCATTTCCGTTGTCGCCGAGGCCGAGCAAACATTTGCGTAGTTTTCACCTCTGAACGCTAACTTGAATGGAGCCTCTTCGGTCCCGTTTGCTGGGGAGGTGCTCAATGGCCTATGGGTCCTGACGTGCTCATCTTGTCCTTGATATCCACCTCTTCCCATTCGCAATCAAGTGCCAAGATTCTGGGAGTACTAAATAACAAGTCCACGGAAATAGAACAACTTACGGACTTCAGCCGGACTTAAGATTTATCTTTTGCCCATCGCAGATCCTGCCAAGCAAATCGTACGGTTGACAATTGTGACGTTTGAACTTCCCGCGATCTAGTGACTGGGCTACATAAATACTGCAAAGACCCCAAATTCCATACCGAAAACCAAAATACTACCATTTCATGCTTGAAATCTAAGATCTTCACAGATTCCCAACACTTCGCCTTTTTCCATTCACCTTGTCCCGATACTTAGCATGTCTGACAACCCAGGCACCGTCCTGATTACCGGCGCAAACAGCTACCTAGGGCTCCACGTCATTGACCAGGCTTTGAAGCGGGGATACAATGTCCGAGGAACAGTTCGGTCCCAGAAAGCTGCAGACAAAGTCCGCGCGACTTTCCCAAACGACTATGGCTCAAGGTTGACGACCATCTCCATCGAAGACCTCACCAAGCCCGAGCTCTTTCACGACGCCTTCGACCAAACAACAATAGGCGTCATTCACGTCGCCAGTCCTGTTCACGGCCAAGTCGAAGACAATGTACGCGACATGTTGAATCCTGCCATCAAGGGTGCCACGGGAATCCTGGAAGCCAGCAAGCTGTACGGCGGTGCTGCTTTGAAGCGTGTGGTTCACGTTTCTTCCTTGGCGGCAATGCTTGACAACTCCAAAGACCCTCGTATCGGATACGTCTATGACGAGTCTGACTGGAACCCAACGACTTTTGAAGAGGCCGCGTCTCTCAAAGATCGGGCGGCTCTTTACTTGGCATCAAAGGCGCTTTCGAAAAAGGCAGTTTGGGCATGGATGGAGGATAACCAGACCAATTTCGATCTCAGCTGCTTGAACCCTGCCCTAGTCCTGGGTCCTCACCTAGAGGACATTGGCAACTTGGACAAAATTACGTCAACTTCCAAGCTTCTTTGGCAACTCATGGACGCCAAGGAAATCCCGGAACTACAGTGGACCGGAGTTGTGGACGTGCGTGACACGGCTGCTATGCTTGTTGCGGCTGTGGATACACCTGCGGCTGGTGGCCAGAGATTCTTGTTGGGGCATCACTTTGACTGGCAGACTGCCGCTGATGCAGCCAGGGAAGCTTTGCCAGAGGTCAAGAATCGAGTTCCTGTTGGTAGACCGGGAACCGGTAAGACGGCAGCTTTGGAAAACCTGTATCAGGTTGACGGGAACAAAATCGTGGAGGTTCTGGGTTTTCCGTACCGTCCGCTGCATGCGACTGTGAAAGACACGCTGCAGCAATTCCTTGCGGTAGAAAGCCGCCAGTAGAAATCTCTTGGGTACCTCATCTTTTAGGACTTTCCTTGCTTTTGTAATATCTCGACGTGACTCGAAGTGATATGCAAAGGGCCGAAACTCATGAGCTAATCATGAATGGCTGTTGTCATAAGCGACTTGTAATGTCGAGGACGACTGTCTGCCGTCGTTGTAGCCTACGAAACTTCGTCAACGCCAAGACAATAACGATATTTGTGGTCATTCAACCAGCCTGCCAATGTTGTCAACTCTTGGCAAATCAATCTAGATCTAGTCAATGCAACTGTAGTGATGCGCGCAGGGATCGGATTTAGACATCGAGTAAAGATAACCCCGACCCCCTCACACAGACGCCAGCGAATGACGGATTTAGCGGAATACAAAACCTACAACAGCCGACAGGTATTAAACAATATTTGCAGATCCGGTATAAACTTGTAGTTGCTTGAAGCTGTTGAGAGCATATTGCCTCCATCCCGCAGTGCTGATGACGCAGGGTATGATATGCTGGAGTAAACTCAAAGCCGGTTTAATTATCGTCTTGGAAAAACATGACTTGGCGAGCAAAAGCACGGAAGGTTCGGTCAACTCATCGTACAATTCTGGGCATAAAGAGGAGACCTTTGAGATTGTTTAAAGAAAGAGAAAATGCTTTGTTTCCGTTAACCTGTCCGACAGCAGGAAGCATCCGACCCAAATTGAAATCAAAGCTTGCCACATCGACATTTCAAAATGGCTTTTTCTTGTCTGTTGATGGTCCTCCTTGTGTACTTCAACGGTGCCCTTTCAGTACTTTCAGATGTTCCTGAGACATATGAGTACATTGTAGTGGGATCCGGTCCAGGTGGCGGTCCGCTCGCTGCCAATCTTGCCCGGGAAGGGCACTCAGTCTTGCTCATTGAGGCTGGTGATGACCAAGCAGACAACATCAACTCATATATGGTCTACAACAATACACCGGCTATCAATGATCCACTCACGCGATGGGACTTCTTCGTAACGCGAGACACGCCAGAGATTGACAACCTCTACGACTTCACAACTTGGAATACAACTGACGGCGACTTTTACGTTGGGTTGGATCCACCTTCTGGCTCTACACGACTTGGAGTTTACTATCCACGAGCTGGCGTACTTGGCGGCTGCGCTATGCATAACGCGGCTACGATCTCTTTGCCTGCAGATGTGGACTGGCAGGACATCGCCGATCTGACTGGAGATGAGACATGGTCGCCAGCGAATATACGCAAGTATCTTGTCAGACTAGAGCGATGCAACTACCTTGTCAACGGAAGTACTGCATCTCACGGTTTCACGGGATATCTTGACACTTCTCAGAGTGACTATTCCTGGGCTCTCAATGAGTCGGATGTGTCTACACTGGCTACGTATGCGTCCACAGCTCTCGGGTATCCGCCAGGAATCAACTCCACTGAGCTTGCTATGTTACTGGGGAGGGACATCAACTCGGACGATGTGGAACGCGATAACCTCCTCGGGGTGTTTACCCCTCACACCCACTCTCGGAATGGCGTGCGGTCCAGTCCAAGTAATTACATTCGGGCGACTATGGATGACGAGAGAAAGTTCCCATTGACACTCCAGCTAAACACCCCTGCAACGAAGATCATATTCGAAAAGCCCACAAACGGAAACACGGCACCACGGGCTATAGGAGTCGAGTACCTTCAAGGTCAAAGCCTTTACTCAACAGATCCTCGTCATGACCCTTCCCAGGTCGGTGTACCTGGCAAAGCCTTTGCGTCGAAAGAGGTCATCATCGCTGGTGGTGTCTTCAACACCCCGCAGCTTCTCAAACTCAGCGGTGTCGGCCCAGCGGACGAGTTGGCGAAGTTTGACATCCCTGTCGTCACAGACCTTCCGGGTGTCGGCATGAACATGCACGACAACCTCGAGGGAGTCATCTACGGCACGTTCGAAAAGCCAGTGGTTGGATTCTGGGATATGTTCATGCGGACCTCAGTTGCCGAGCGCACGCGGGATATACACTTCTACTGCGGGAGCTTCAACTTCATCGGCTTCTTCCCGGGTATGCCGGGTTGGGCGGAGAACGAGTCTGAGTGTGGCTTCATGCAGCTCCATCCGCGAAACATCAACGGCACCGTCAAGCTAAGATCCACCGATCCCCGTGAGGCTCCCAACATACATTGAAATGGTCGTAGGCCAGGCGGCCGAGAGCTATGCAGCACAGCAGCGCGTACGCGCCCGAAGGCGCGTAGAGCCGCCTTAACTACGTAACTCTACGGTTTTAAGGCCTACGATTTTAAAAGAAAAAGGAAAAGACTCTTTACGTTCTTTGCAGATCTAGAATAAAAAGAACGAGATAAAAAGCTCGAAAATCCGCTAAAAAACGAGTAAATTAAGCCTCTTGTCTCTGTGAGGATGATAATGATGTCTGAGCTAACTTCTCGCCCCTTGAGGGGGGCTAGTAATCTAGCCTCTAAACGCTAAAAACGCCGAAAAATCCAGTGGGCCCACTAAACCCCGTTCCAACATCTTGGGTTCTTCTCTCAAGGCGATGACGCAGACCTTGACTCAATGGTGGAGGCGATCAATCTTGCGAGGTCCGTTCTTACCAACCTGACTGACAACAAGTTCACTGAGCACCGACCTTGTCGCCAAGGTGCTACGAGCTGCACGAACGAGGAGCAAAAGGCTTTTCTTCGAGCTCAGACCTACTCTCATCATATTACTGGATCCTGCGCAATCGGAGCAGATGATGACCGGATGGCTGTGTTAGACTCTAATTTCCGCGTTCGTGGAGTACAAGGGCTTCGGGTCGTTGATGGATCCGTCTTTCCGGTCCAGCCTGGAGAGGTGCCAACACTGGCTACTTTCATGATCAGCGAGAAAGCATTGGATGATATTCTTGCGGATGCTTAGGGGACTTTCATAAGGAACTTCGAAGGTCCCATCTGTTCTTAGATCTTCGTTCGAGTGGCCACAATCAAAATGAATGCTTTCTATCCAAGGGAAAGCACTAAGGTCGTATCAGAAGATGTTTGTAATATTAAGCTATTATATACAATGAACATCAATCGCAGGAAATAAGATAGCGCGCACAGATATACTATGCAAAAACTTTCAACAGACACATTAACACCCGCGGACATTATCGGGCGCGATAAAGTTCTACACCTAGAACCAATGGAACTCTCCCAAAGCAGGAAGCATGTACTCCACATCTCTGGAGTTGAGAATGGAGGTGCAATTTTCCTTATCAGCAGGAATTGTCGGGTGGCATGTGGACTCGCAGACGGTACCGCTCTCTGGCAGCTTGCCCTCCGAAAAGTACTCCCGGACAATCTTTACAAGACACTCGCTTGGGTTGGAGGTTGCCCCATGACCAGAAGTCTCTTGAATAACGACAGCGGATCCAGGATGCCCCTCTGACACATGGAAGGCGTTTCTGAGAGGGGTAATTGGGTCGTAGCGGCTGGAGGTGATCAAAAGCGGCGCGGCGGGTGCGTTCGTGTCGTTGGCACTTGCTGCAGGGCTGATGTAAGGTCCGGTGAAAGGGTAGGACGGGCGGAGCTTGCGGCCAGCACAAGCGATTGGGATTGCTCCCGACACGCCAGTGCCGGTTGTCTCGGATTGGTTCTTCAGGTAGGCTACGACCTCTTCATAGAAGGAAATGTTGCGATCAACCACCTCATCAACAATGTCGGAGCAGAGAACGCCTGCCAGGACATCCGTGTCCCAGTTGTACTGAGGAAGCTCATCGTCATCGGAAGCGTCGCACACGAGTTTGATCGAGTCCGAGGGAAGGAATGCCGTGAGAATGGAGTAGTTGCCATTCATAAGAGCGCCGAGACCGAGAGCAAGCGTCTCGAATGAGGTCAACGGACCGTACAACATGGAGAAGATCGCTTGACGGATAATGGGTGATGTAAGCATATACGGCCGATCGTTGAAAGAAAAGGACACCGGCGTGTTATCCATGTCGTCAATGACGTCGGCGACACGAGCCTTGATGTCGGCGCCGGACTTGTCAGATGATTCAATCAGAGGACAATCTTCCCCAGATTCAAAGCAGAGCTCGTAGAATTGGTCAACAATCTTCTCAGCATCGTTGATGTCATTGCGGAAGGTCTGGGAAGACAGTTAGCATCGCACGAATGCACTAAAGAAAGTATAGACTTACGCCAGCAGAGAAATCATCAGCATCAACCACAGCGTCAATCCACATTCTCTCAATACGCTCAGGGAACATGGAAGCAAATGTGTTCCCCAGGAAAGTTCCATAAGAGATGCCAATGTAGTTAAGGCGAGCTGCCTCAGCATCCTTAGGCTTAGCCTTGCCTGACTCCTTCCAGCGCAAGTCGTCAATGCGATCGATAATTTCCACCATGTCGCGAGCAACGGACGCGGTGTTCATGTGACCCCAGATGCTATCAGCACCATTTTCTTCGCAGAGAGCACTCTGAGCAGAAGCGCTCGCCCAATGATATCCAATGGCGTCATCAATCGGGGGAAGATTGGAAGTGCGCTCCTGAGAAAGCCTCCGGGCGAACTGGTCTCCCTTGAAGCAGTCGGCGTGTGGTGTGCTCGTGTTGACGCCACGTGGGTCGAAGCCGATGATTTCGTAGTTCTCGCCAATCACCTTCTGCAGACCGGGACCCCAGGAGTAGGCGAAAGCGGTACCGGAGCCGCTTGGTCCTCCGGGGTTGATGAGCACGCTGCCGGCGAAAGATGGGTCGTCATCCGGGACTGCGGCCGGGAGCTTGACAATACCGATGGCAGCGGTGCTATTTTTGGTTGGGTTTGCCCAGTCGAGCGGGACTTCGAGACGGGCGCATTGGAAGCCGCTACCACAGTCGTAGTATTGCAGGTCTTTGGTTGGTCTTGTGTCGACCCAACTGAATGCTTTCGTTGAATTTGTGCCCCTCGCAGACAGAGGCAGGGAGACTGCTTGAGTGAGACTGACTAGAGAGCCAGCCAATAGAAGAGAGGACACCATCGCGGTGAATCAGTTAGATATCAATTGCAATTCCTCTTCTATGTTGATGACAGGAAAAATGAAGAAAAATTGGGTTTTAGTTGTCGTATTAGCGTGATGGACTTGTGTTAACATCAACAACAAACTGGAGGCAGCACGAGGTATTTCAACAAATTGACAAAATCCTCCCTCAACGACCTATTCTCCATTTTGTGATGCTCAGCTTGGCGTACAGTCAGTTTCGTAGCCACAAACGGCATTCAAGAGTCAGTCGTCACCGACCTTTCCCTGCAGGATCATGATGCTAGTCCGCCTGCTAGGCAGAGATATTTCGCCCTGCCAGTACTGCCACTCTTGCCTTCTCCACGTTGGGTCTAGTCGCATCCGTCAGCACATCCTAATTGGCACATTATTGTTTATGCCCCATTATTGCCCGCGCAACTGGCACGCTGCGGGCTGTGCCGCGGCCGACCTGGCAGTCGAAGGATGTTGTCGCGTTAGCTGCAGGTTTGTGCCTCAAGCCGGCAGCCGATGCTCCAAGGCTTGGGAGCCATGAAGGTGAACGTTTTGGGGACCTTCTGTCTAACGCCAAGGCACTAACACACCAGCGGGTGGCTGAATCGTAATACGATGCTGACGTCCACCTCCAGCCGTGTCTGGTTCGGCCGCCCGCATGTCGCCCGGATGACGGAGGTCTGTCGGGCGCCGCAGAAGGCGACCGGCAGACGGGGCGTTATTCCAAGATGCTGGCGTCTTGGCTGATCTACTGAGAACAATATTCTAACGTCATGTTGCACGATATGAGAGCAAGGCATTATAGGCCCATTTTCAACCTGTGTGTGACTAAAGGCGCGTTCTCTGAGACTCAGCCGCTCACTCTTGCAGCAATTTGACTACGTCTGATTGAACTGCGTGGAAGTATCTAGCAGATGATCTCCAAGATTATTATAGTTGAAAAATGAAAATTGGTACAAACTGCCCAACGATCAATGATTTCACGCACGTCTGCTCTGATGATTGAGCTGGCTCGGCTCGAAATGGATTAGAAGACCATTATCTCTTCATTTTGCCTGAGAAATTACCGCGATACTCGTGGCCGCATGTTCAAGTTCTTTGCATTTCGAGATACAGACAGTGTCAGGCACGGGGGTACGGGGGTGAATCGGAGCCCGTAAAGCCGGGAAGTTCGGGCTGCATGCTTAGCTGAATCTAAGTGCCCCATTTCCCCAGATCCTTCGTATGAAACAAAAATGGACATTTTCAACCAATCAAGCTAGTGTTTGTCAAAATGTGCTCCAGGGTTGAAAATTGGGTGGGCTGGCATTACGTGTGCTGGACCGCAGCGCTGTGCCGCACAACTCGCGTGCCTTGACTGATGGCACCTAAGCCTAGAAGTAAGCTTCTCAGCCCCACGCTAGTGTTCTGTGATCCTTCCATGAATCTTCGAAATACCAGAGATCCCCCTCTGTTTTGGCTGTTGAGACGGACAACATTTGGTTCAACGTGCTTTTAGTGATTTCATTTACAACTCAATATCCAATGCGGACATGACCTCCGAGTGGGGTCAATCACCGGGTTTGCGTCGCGTTGGGACTATTCCGGAGAAAAGTGCTGAGGGAACCATGGTATCGTATCACTCATTACTTTTTACAATTGATCGTGCTTTGGTATCATTACAAATAACATCATGAATGCAATGCCCTCTTTGGCCCCAAGTCCTGATCAGCTCAAAAGAAGCCACTTCCAGATCGGATGCACAGGTGTCTGTGCTGTGCTCTTCTATCATGCTTAGACCCTCGGGTTGAGCAGGTATATCGTCCACCGCATGGCTGTTTACAGGTTCTTGGGCTCAAGCTGCTCCTCGGGAGCATCGACGACTCGACGACCACCCTTGGCGCGTCTGTCGGCGTCAAGTGACTGAGCGAACTTGGATCTTTCTCGAATGACGGGTCCCTTCCAGTAAATGAGGTACACTGGGATTGTGACGAGAAAGGCGAGGCATGCGAGGATCGTGCTCGCGTACTCCGTATGACGCGTCTTGCCAATGTTCTCGTAGAGTGGTGTCGAGTACATGGCCGCAATGCCGGCGAGGAAGTCTCTGGCGAAGCCATTACCTCCTGTTGCTGATGCACTGTAGGGGCCGTAAGCTGCGATGGTGGTTAGCAACCATGCTGTGATGTTTAGGATCAGATACTTACCAGCAATCATGTAGTCCACAGTACTCATGTAAATAGCAAAGTTGGCAATAGCGATCAGGCACGAGAAGATCATTGGAGCGATCCAGTGCGACTCAGGGGGTCCCATAGACGTCCATGCGAAACCAAACAAGCCGATTGTCTCCAATGGTGCGAGATAGAGGAGCCATCTCAATCGACGCTCAGGAGGCAAGGCGTCGGAGCCTTTGGCCTTGATGACTCTTTGGTCTCTGATGATCCAGGGTACGTAAGAAATGTAGGCAATCAAGTATCCGATGTTGATCGGAATGAAAGCCCAAGCTTTCTCGAGGACGCCGAAACCCCACTTCTCAAAAACTGGGTTGAAACCCTCTTGGAAAGTGAAGATAAGAGCGTCGGAGAAACCAGAAAGAAGAGAGCAAGAAAGGACAATAGGCTCTCGTAGGAACATCTCGAAAGGTCGAATCCAAGTGATCGCGAACTCGTGGGCGGAGAGTCGGGGCTTCTTGACCTCATTGGGTCCATAGACGTTCGTGTCGATGCCAGCCTCGCGCTTGCGCTTTGCTTCCTTGTCCATGAGGATAGTGGAGCGACTCTCAGGCATGAAGAAGTGAACAGCCTGAACAGTGACGCCAAAGATGAGCTGGATCCAGAAGTTCCAGTACCACGGTAGGAAGGCTTGAATTGGGCCGCCGACCACAGGACCGACAGAGGTACCGAATACGGAGGAGAGAACGACAAAGAGGACTGCCCACTGTTGGTCATCGGGTTGGTAGAGGTCTGCCACCATTCCCAATGTGACACTGCCTCCTGCTGAGCTCAGACCGCCCTATGGGGTGTTGGTCAGTATCATCGACATTGATCATCACAAGATTGTGAAGGCAATTGAACTCACAAGACCTCGAGCGACAACGATGGAAGCAAAGTTGGGTGCGAGCCCGCCGAGGATTTGCCAAATATTTACCAGAAACAGGGAACACCTGGGGCTTTTGTTAGACAAATTCTCAAATCCAGCATCAACCCTTCATATTGGCTTTCAACTTACTGCAAGATCTTCCATCTTCCAAACTCCTCACTCCATGGCGCCCAAAGCTCGCAGCCAAAAGCGTAAAGCACGAGAAACGCACACTGTGATGCACGAACAGCCTGCTCACTGACTGCAAAGTGCTCACTGAGCGGCGTAACAGCACTCGGATAGACGCTTGTGTTGAAGTTCATCGAGACCTGGACAGCGAAGATGGATGAGAGAAGCATCCACTTCTTCCATGCGGGCCACGAGTAGCCGAGCAAGTGATAGCACTCATCCTCGGTGATGATGCGCTTGCCGTCTGGGGTGGATTGCGGTTGATTACTCTTCGAGGTGATATTCTCGTGGGTAGTCGTTCCTTCAGACTCCTCGTCTCTGCCTGGTGCGTCTTGGAAAAAGCCACCGGTCGGAGCTTCTTCCTTCTCTCTTGGTCGTTCCGGCTTTTCGTCGAAGCTCGGGCCGACTCGTGTTGCGCTGCTGTTGCGGGTGAGGTTCGCTTCCTCAGGTGCGTTCGTGCCGGACGTGGGCGGGTTTTTCGATGGTGGTGTGGAGGCCATGGTGACTATCTGGTAGCAAACAGTCCCGGCCCGAAGACGTGATGTGCCGGGCTGCCGATATGTGATGTCGAATGCGAGGTGACGGTGACAGTCTAGGACCAAATGTTCCGAGGTCTTACGAAAGGCATGAAAGGACGAGACCTAGCGTGTGAAATGATATGACAGCTGATAAATGTCAACCAACGGCGCCCCGGATTTCGATCTCTTAGGCCGTCCAACGTCTTTATCAATGCTCGGGGTCTCCACGATATGAAAGATAAACTCCGACAGAAAATTGGAGTTATGACGCTATCGTCCCATGACGCTGGCGTTAGTCGGGCCTTCCCAACGGCGAAAAGGGGACCTTGAAGGATCCAGAGCCCCAGTATTGGACGGTCATTCTGGTCAGCATCCTCACTTTATTCGGCCGTTATGTTTGATGGAGTCGTGCCACAGAGGAGCGCCAACCGAAAATTCATCTTTCCATTCTCGACTTGGCGGGCTGAAAAAATCGCGAAAAGGCTGTTGCGTTCGCATCAATACTGGACCTTGACATCATACTTTGTCGGTGGGTTTGCCCGATTTGCGGGTCAAGGGTGGGAACAATGACGGAAACCGTGGGGCATGCGGCGGGTGAGCCGCATCTTGGATCGGCGACAGTCACGGAGGTGGTGTGGGTTCATGCCTGCTCGGATTTCCCAAACTGGGAACCCGATGTCCGGAGGTGTGGTCAAACCGCGAAACCTGGAGACCGCGGTCGCACGCAATGCTGTCTTTGGCGATGCGATAAGCTATGTCCTTTCCCCAATCTTCAGTCTTTTGACAGATGATTATCCTGCACTATGATGTTGAAGAGGGGTGGTTCATAGGATGAGGAGCTCCCCGTGGGGATGAGGAAGAACTGTCGGTATTGATTTAAGTAGGGCTGGTCTCGGCGCCGTCATTGAGATAAGACTTGCGGCTTTCCAGGACATTGAAATGTCGCACGGCTGATTCCCCTCTATTCCCATTTCTCGGCCAGAGATGAATAGAGCGGCTCGGTAAACAGGCCGCATGGCAAGCAAGACTTGACCAATCATTCTTGACAACCACACAGTGTTGTCTAGAGAAGCTTTTCATACTTCTTGTCCGACAAGACGCCAAAAACACAAGCAATGGTATCCGCCACGTCCAAGACTTGCCAAGTAGAAAACTTGTTGTCGGCGTTTACCTCCAGCTTGCCACCGCGCACATGCCAAGCCGACCGATCGGTGGGTGGATCCATTCAAGAGTCCACAACCAACACGCATCTGTTTATGTCGTCAGTGTGATAGCACGACCCAAAGTAATTGAAGCGACCGGGAAAAGGAAGGCAGAAGAACAATGGAAAACACGCGGAAAACAACAAAAATCAAGTCATTGTTGGCCATTACCTACTGAGTTTTGGCTGGTCACCATTGATGCGAACTTCAACCGCTTAAACAATCGCTTCGAAAAGCAGATAACTGGTATATGTCGGCGAACTCCGCGAATTCTCGCAGGGACTCCCGTAATAGCTTCCAGATATTGTCAGATTTATTGTGTTGAATTACAGTTACATCGTTTTAGTATGATCACATGTGGCCCAGAAGGGTCTTACCCTCTAACATTCCGTCGTAAACATGTAGCAATCCAACTGCAATTGTTATCGGCCTTTAAACGATGATGTGCTAATGTAGACATCAGTTTTCCGGATTATGCCCTTGTGGCTCGAATCGTCTCGATCGTCGTCCGTTTCAAGGTCTCTGGTGCCCGTTCTCCTCGCTGATGCATGGTATGTTCTATCGTGGTCACTGAGCGAGCCGAGTTTAATAGCCGGGCCAGCGCTGCCGAGAACGTTTTCACTCTATTGATGGGATCAGCGCAGGTTCAAAGCAAATTTCAGCATATAATGCGCATAAACAAACTTACCCCGCCTGACACTTTGTAATTGCCATCGTGAGATGAGCCATAGTAAAACTTGAACAGTTTTCGCAATGGCGGCAGAGAACATCCAATAATTCCCAACGCGCACTCGAGGTTGGAGGTAATACTGATAACGCCGAGGTGGTCTATACTACGGTCAGTCTCTGAATAGGGATTTGTTGATGAACAGCAACGTACATCCAATCTCCGTTGGGTACTTGGCGGTGTCGTAGTACTTGAGGTATGGCATTCTGATGACAGTCGCAATACTGGCAAACAGACCGAGACCGAGAATGGCGCAGACGGAGACCTTCTTCCTCTGGGACATTTGCAGTCCCGCAACGATGAAGAAAGGGATAATTGCACAAGTCCAGTCCGTGATCATCTGGATGGCAGAGACGATATAACTGACAGTCTGCAGGCTGATAACCTTCTGGCATGTTCCCCTGATAGAAGATGATTAATCAAATGTTTGCGCAACCTGTAGTAGTGCGGCGAAGAACTTACAACGCGGGGTTCCATGTTGCGGCAAGTGGAGTGCAGTTTGCGAAAACAAACACCAAAGCGAGAATCGCAACAATCACCATAACCGCCATGTTGATGCCCATAATGACTGTCACTCGCTTCCTTCTATCCAAGCGTACGCAAGTAAAGCCGATGGCGCATTTGATTATCGTTGACGAGATGAAGTAGAGAACTTCCCAGTATGTTTGATATTCGGAAGCGCGAATCAGGTAAAGCTGGGAAGGGATATCGGCATCGTGGGAGCCGACTCCATATCGTGAGGCGTACACCGCAAAGACGACCGCCGGTATGAAGGGTACCTATGGGGTCGTCCGTCAGTTCATTCGGTTGCGAGACATAGAAATGCTGTGAAACATAAGATCCGCAGTCTTGCGTTAATGTCGAAAACACTTACTGTTCCGATCACTGCTAGCCAGTCCTCGACACCCCATAGTCTTGTCGACGCCCCCGAGAGCCCAGCGCGGACGTAGATTCGAAGGCCGACCACAATCACACAAACGATCCCGAAAACGATGGCGATGAACTCGACGGCTGGCCCCAGGCCCTTCGGGGTCAAAGGCTCAAGCTGGTAGGCGATAGCCGAGATTTGCTCCCCTGTCGTAGTGGCAGCCATTTTGGCGGTTAACACTAAGCTTCTGCCAGTCCACTATCCCACCGGCGGCTTGTTGTCGGTTTCCTGTTCGAGGCCGGCAGATGGAGAGAAGTGCCTGCTCCTGCGTCGACTTCGGTTCCGGCGAGTTGGGAGAGAAGACATGCAAGATGAGCCACATCGGGGAATTGGTGGCATTATGAATAGCCGGAACGATCTGCCGCGTGGTCTATGGAGCACCAACAAACCACCAACGTTCCTGCGTCTGTGTCGCTCCTCATTGTGGGCTCGTTTCTTCTTTCGACCAAGGGGCTAGGACTTTTTCCAGTCCAACCCCACAGGCAGATGTTAGGAATATGACTAGATACATAAATATGATGCCCGGTTTCTGTGCCTTGAATGGATTCTCCATCCGAACGAGTGGAAGCCTAGAGTAGCCGCCTTCTGGTAGACACCAGCCCTGGAAGTGGAACGGCTGTCAGCTTTCGGCCAAGAACTCAACCGCATGGCAGATGCCATTCCCGTATTTGCCCCTTTCCGTCGAGTCAGCGCCTCCTCGCCTAGTGTAAAGAATGGCCACCGCGACGTGCTCGGACTGTGACGATAATCAAGGATTTGTCTTAATAACTCATTACTGCACGTGTGCAGGACCGGTTGAGGACCGGTTTCCCTGTCGTGATCTGCCATGTCCACGGCCAATTGGGACTGGCGGCCGCTGCAAAGCCACGCACATGCCGCAAATTGAGCAATCTGTTTCTACCCGATGTCAGGGCTTGTAACTTTGACAAGCCGCGGCCAGTCGGGACTGTCAAGTCAATCCCGCACAAGACTAGAGAATAGATGAATCTGGGTGTGCGATAGGCCATGTTGCCGAGTTCCCCATCGATCCCTGTCTGCAGGCCGAGGGGACATGACTCGACTGGCGGCTTGTCCACTGCGACGTCGGTAAATGATCCCAGTCGGCTGCCCTCGCCTGAGACGTTGACGTGAAGCTCGGGCAATGGTGCCATACTACCGGTTTTCGCTTCGATCTGCTCGTTTTCGGGAATAATATGATCAGAGTTCGAAGGCAGAAAACGTTGTGCTGGAATGGGATGAACTGCATCGGTGACAACCTGCGTTAAAGTCGTCGTGATCCCCGCCGCATAAAGACATTGAGTTGGCATAAACATAGCTCCCGTGGGCACGGTCGTTTTTAGTGCAGATCCAACACAAGGATTGGGCTCCAGAGCGGCTGGAAAATCCAGAACACTGAGAACAGACAACGGAGCAACCCAGCTGCGCGGACATCAAATTTCCTCGATGTCCGTTGCTGGATCGTTCACTGGCAATTTTGGCGAGGCATGGAACAGAACCCTGTCTGTTGCTGCCGTCTTCGGCCTAGAGGGCAACTGATATCTCCCAGAATCAGTCCAGACGGCACGTCCCCATCCTCCCGTTGCAGAATGTCTGTTGGCGCTTTGTGGGGGGGCGGGATGCATCAGGGGTCCTGTGAACTGGCCAGTCAGATGCTGGTCATATTTCATCAATTTCTGTCCATTTCCCACCGAAGTTCGTCAATGCCCCTCAGTCGAATATCTGTTTGCTCTTTTAAACACATCTCTTCCAAGTCGCGTGTTTGCGAAGCCTTCGCAAAGCGACTCGCCTTCGTTCTACCACGATGGTGGCTACTATTCTCCTAGGCGTGGGCCTCCTAGCCGTCTATCTTCTCGGTAGTGCTATCTACTCCATCACGCTCCACCCACTGGCCGATGTGCCGGGTCCCAAGATCTGTGCAATCACCCGCATCCCGTATTGGCTTGTCGCGCTCAGAGGTGATGATATCGAGTGGATGAAGAGTCTGCACGAGCAGTATGGACCTGTCGTTCGTTTCGGCCCTACTGATCTAAGCTACACGGCTGCACAGGCCTGGGATGATGTTCATGGACCCAAGGTGCAGGAGAAGGCTCAAGAATTCTCTGTGCAGCCCGTAAACGGTGAGTGGTCCATCACGCGTCAGCTACGATGACGGTGTCTCGTATGTCTGATCCAAATGCTGACGTTTTTCAGGCGTACCCAGTATTCTTACCACTAACACGGAGAACCACGCGCGAGTCCGTCGTCTGTTCTCGCCGGCCTTCTCAGAGCGTGCTCTGAGACAGCAAGAGCCTCTCTTCCGCAAATACGTGGACCTCTTCATGTACAAGATCTCTGAAATTGGCAAAGATGGAAAGGAACCGGTGGAAATGATGCAGCTGCTCAACTTTACAACTTTTGACGTCATGGCTGAGCTTTGTTTCGGACAGCCCCTTGGTCTGCTGGCGAAGAACGAGTTCAGTCCCTGGGTCAAGTCAATCTTCGAGTCGCTGAAGATGTTGCCGATCGTGTCCATCATCAACTACTACCCAATTCTGAATGCCATCTTCACCAAGTTCGAGCCGAAGTCCGTTACCGAGCAGCGAGTCACTCATTGCAGACACTCAGAGGAGCGCGTCAACCAGCGTCTCGAGAGCGGCTCCACCCAGCCTGATGTTTGGAACTTGGTTCTGGCCGCTAAGGAGGGCAAGGAGCTCACTATCAAGGAGATGCACTCAAATGCAGAGCTTTTCATGCTTGCTGGATCCGAAACTACTGGTAAGCTTTCAACGTCTTTGGAATGTTCAAGGGCTCGAGACTGATTCTGATAGCCACCCTACTGAGCGGATGCGTTTACACTCTTCTCGCCAACCCCGATAAGATGAAGACTCTCCTCGAAGAGATCCGCGGCAACTTCTCCACTCTGGACGACCTGACCTTCGAGCGTCTTGCAGACCTGAAATACCTGAACGCTGTTCTGAAAGAGTCTCTGCGCGTCTACCCTCCAGTCCCTATCGGCAGCCCTCGAGTAGTCATGCCCGGCGGTCAACAGATCATGGGCAAATGGGTACCCGAGGGAGTTCGCATCTCAGTTCATCACTGGTCCACATATCAGTCCGAAGCCAACTTTAGAAACGCCAAGACGTTTGCGCCTGAGAGATGGCTGAAGACGGACCCTGCTTATGCTGGAGATGTTCTGGATGCGCACAAGCCATTCGGGTTTGGCCCACGCGACTGTTTGGGACAGAACATGGCCATGCACGAGATGAGACTCATCTTGGCTACGTTGCTTTTCTCTTATGACCTCGAGCTCTGCGAGGAAAGCAAGGACTGGACTAACCAGAAGGCGTTTGCGTTATGGATCAAGAAGCCATTGATGGTTCACGCGACGCCTGTGGACACGCAGACCAGAATGAAGATTTGAGAGAGTGTGACAGTACCCTATTCATATGCAGATTACACATGTTGTAATAGCGATAGATCGAGGAGGACTACATTAGACATCACATAATTATAGAGTTCATCATCCAACCCGAGCAACCTTTTGACGGGGACAGAATAGTTCAATGTCGCTAGTGAATGATATCTAATTTTCTTTTCTAGCTAAGATGCCACTTGTCGCCAACTCTGAAGCCCTCTGGAAAGGGGTCCGTTGGGTGAAGTAGAACCTGTTTGAAGGCCGTGATCCAAGCACTTCCCTTGACCGCCGGCACAATAGCATCATACTCCCCAACCTTAGCTTCACTCCTGACTGTCCCAATGAACTCGGTTCCAATCACACTGCGATGAACAAACGATTCGCCCACGGCGAGCTGTCCTCGTTTATGTAGCACGGCAAGTCGCGCGCACGTACCCGTTCCACAGGGGCTGCGATCCAAGCGACCGGGCGAAACCACGACCGTGTTGACAGCCTCCTTATTGTTTCCCGAGCTAGTAAGAGGGTTGGTAAACTCAAAAACGGTGACCCCCCTAATCTCAGGATTTTCCGGGTGTATCGGGTCTGTCTGTGCCTGGATAGCTTTCTTGATGCGCTCGCCCACTTCAACAAGCTCACGTCCATTCTCTGATGCAATCTGAAGACCGACCGAGGCAGCGTCCACAAGCGCGTACCACATCCCTCCATACGCGATGTCGACCTTGACAGGCTTATCAAATCCAGGAACAGTAATGTCCAAATCCAAGGCATACACAAATGCCGGGACGTTTTGGAACTCAACGTACTTCGCCTTTCCGGCCTCGCATTCGGCTGTGACTGTGACCAAACCCGCAGCTGTATCCAGCTTCAGAGTAGTAACAGGCTCTTGCATTGGCACCATGCCCGTTTCGAGAAGAACGGTGCTTGTCGCGATGGTGTTCGCCACGGACATGGGCGGATACTCTTCATGTTCCATAATGATAAAGCCGGCGTCAGCTTCCGGGTTGCAGGGCGGAAGAACCAGGTTGGTGCACATGGACGATGAGCCACGGGGCTCGTTGAGGAGAAGGTTCCGAAGGTTGTCTCTCTTCTTCCAGAAATGCATCATCTTCTCGAACATATTTTTGCCGGGCGCATCGAGAACGCCGCCAACGACGACATCGCAGACTTCGCCGCCGCAGTGGGCTCCGACCACGTTGAATGTCCGGCCGAAGGTCATTTTGGAAACAATGATGTAAAAGGGAGCCGGTCGTCACTTTCACTCTCGAGTCGTGCGATGTTTAGGAGCAAACAGCAATCAATCGACTGACTTCATTGCCACCTCTTGGACTTTTACGTCGACTTACACGGAGATCCGTACTACCGAGGAGAGTCGGCTGGTGGGGCCCGACATCCGGAACCTAGATACCGATCCGACCGGAAGGGCATCCGGGCGGGGTAACCAACACGGTCGGAGACCAATCCGGGGCATTTAGCAAGCTCTAAATTCTCCACGAAGGATTGCCTGGGCAGAGCTTCGGCCCGGAATGATTGGAAACGGCCAGTTCGTTATCTAGAGGATCTATCTGACGCGTGGTTGATGGCTCAGAAAGGAAGGTTTCCGCCGATAGTGAAGTCTGCTTACATCAGATTGCGAAAATCGGCATCTTACCCCGCGAACATCTTTAAGGCCGAATGAGTTAATTGTCATCAAGGACACATTCAAGACCAATTAAACACAATTTTCCAACTGCAATTTCATCGATATCATGGGTGGGCTTCGAATTCTCAGCGACGCTGTCGTTCACGACATCTTGATCAACTCGCAAAAGGATGGCATCTTGCGTCTCCGAGATGCTCTTCTGAAATGCTTAGTCAACGTTTCCAAGGGCACAGAAAAGGACTATCAACCTCAGGCTGGCGTGGTCAACAGACCTGAAGGCCAAAAGTGCCTCTTCCGGCCTTTCTCTTCGTCAGACAGTTTCGGCACAAAGATCGTGGTCACGCCAGCGCCATCCTCGAAAGCAGCCGGAGCGCTGCACGGGATAGTCACTCTATGTGATCAAGATGGCTACCCGACCGGTATCATCAACGCCGAGGAACTCACCGGCTACCGCACTTCTCTTTCCGCTCTGATTCCCTACATTTGGAGACGATACACGGACAAGATTGTCGTTTTCGGCGCCGGAAAACAAGCACTCTGGCATCTGCGCTTGGCTCTCGCTCTGCGTGGCGACGAAGTCAAGTCCATCGTCGTCGTGAACCGTTCTGAGGAGCGTGCACGGCAGTTGATCAGCAGAATCAAGGACGAGAACCAGAGGCTGTGGAAGTCTTTGACAACCATCGACTACCTCGCTCCGTCTAGCCCCGATTACGAAGCCACCATCAAGGAACATCTATCCGTCGTGGACGCCATTTTCTGCACAGTTGGCACTACGAGCCCGCTGTTCCCTGCCGACTACATCACCAAGGGACGAAAGACAAATCGGTACCCCTTCATTTCAGCCGTGGGATCCTGGCAGCCCAACATGATTGAACTCGATCCAGAACTCCTTCTTTTCGCCGCCGGCAATGTTGGCGAAGGTTTCCAGCGAAGCAAGGAGTCGAAGGGTGCAGTTCTTACAGATGACCGTGAAGGTGCTCTGCATCATGCCGGAGAAGTCATCCAAAGCAAGCTACAGCCTGACAGCCTCGTGGAGGTGGGCGAGGTTGAACTTTCACGGCAAGCGGGAGACAACAAAGACCTGTTGAAATGGGTTGAGGAAGGTCTCGTGGTTTACAAGAACATTGGTGTTAGCACGACGGACCTTGCAATTGGCAACGCGCTACTGGCCATTGCAGAGGAAGCAGGAACCGGAATTATTGTACCTGAATTTTGATTCGCTTTGTTGTCAACAGTGATAGATCATTTGAGGTTCAGTAAGAAAAATAAACGCCGATAATATTTCAAACTTTCTAGTCCTCAGAACCAAGACCGCATTGATAGTCGTTTGACCCGTTCAAGCTCGATTGTCACCGTCGTCGTTGTCTGCCCGGCCTGTCCACTGTACCGGACTCAAGCACGCCCTCGCCGTCGGACATGTCCTCCCACATCACCCATCCCGTCAAGGGTCGAATCTTTGTCAAATTGGAGAACTGCCCCGGTTCATCCCCACGCATTTCGTGACCCACATGACCGAGGCGAGCGTCCCTAAGCCAAATACCATAAGAATTTTCATTTCGAAAGCCTCGAACGCCATAAGGTTCTTTATCCGAGTCATCGCCGAAGTTTCCACCCGAACTGCCACGGGCAGCCTGAATACCAATAGATCCTGCTGACATGGTGCAGTGCATTTTGTGAAGAATTCTTTTGTGAATTTTTATATAACTAGGGATATATAAGAGGTCCCCCTTACTCTAACTACCCCTTATATATCTAACTACCTTTATTAACTATTACTCTATTAAGTTATAGTACTACTTTAAGTTCTACTAATAAACTCTCTTATTTTAGATAGTTTAATTAGTTTACTTCGTAATACTAATTATTAGTTATCTTATTATTTTTAAATACTTTAGTAATATTTTTAAATTTATTAAATATTTTAAAAAAAGATAGATTATTATAGCTATATTAATAGAGGATAATATATATTAATAAGTAATAGAAAAATAATACTTCTTTAAATTTATTATAATTCTAAAGAAAAAAGTATTTATTTTAAAACTTATAGATATTATCCTCTTTTTCTCTAATAAACTAAGTAAAGCTATTACTACTCTTAAAATAGTAGTTATAGAGGTAGTAAATATAGTATTATTTTAGTATTTTAGTATAATAAGTTATAGTAGTATAAAGAGGGAGATATTTACTCTTTATAATTAAAGCGATTTATACTCTTTTTATATACCCCTATAAGTAGCTATAGAGGTTTCTCTAGCTTAGGCTATCCTAGCCCTCGATTATTCCCCGTGAGAGTTATATAGTAGTTAATAAGGTGTGCCTCTAGGCGGCAAACTGCGGAAGAAAAGTTAGAAGGGAAGAAAGACATGGTGTAGTGACTCACTCTTCTGATGCTTCTGATGGTGACACCAACTGAAGCGGCTCCAGCCGCAAAATCAGCCATCAAAAGATTCATTCGCGGAATGCCATCGATAATGTGAGGCACCCAGTTGCCAGATGCACCCTGCGAAGTCTGGCCCGACGTCTTCCAGAAGGAAAAGACACCAAGCCATCCAGAGATGTGGTCACCCCCACTGAATCCGGCGTGGAATGTGACCATCCTATTCCAGAATGCCTCGACTTGCGGGTGACTGCTGGGCACCTCGAATGACATGACCATGTGTTCAAGGATAGGCTTCAGTAACGTCGCAAATTGCTTTGGCTCGTCCCCAAAATCTTCAATCTTGTCAAGACGCCTCAGGATGTCCCTGTAGTCCGTGGCCTCTCCGAGCAGGGTCACTGATGGTATGCCGCACGACAATTGTGCCTCGTAGGAGAAATAGTCTCGCATTGATCCCATGAACAGAATCGATGCAACGACGCGGTCGTTGTCAGACGTGGTCGTGAACGACGGCATGATCCAGTCATGCAATTCGTCATCCTTGACGTTTGAGGAGATCATTTCCGAGAAGCATTCTGCAAGGTCACCAAAGTCGATCGAGGTCGATTCAGCCCATATTTCAAGCTTCTTCTGCCCCTCATGCTCGACGAAGAAAGACCTGAGACGTTCAGAATTGGCATTGATGTAATGGCTCAGTTGCGTCAAGATGGCGAACCAAATATCTTCCGGTCGGATGTGGAGGTTGTGATGGTCGCTGTAGGCATGGTAGGCGGTCCACAAGAACCCATTTTGCGATGGGGTGGTGTGTGTCTTGCGTAGATACTCAGACGAAAAAGAGGATTGGATGATGTTTCTTCTTGTCAAGGGTCCCAGTGGGACCTGTTGAGCACTTTCGGGGCGCCAGTCGTAAGCTTCATCATTGTCTCTCGGGCAAGCTTTTCGGAGGACGTCATCAGGGGTGGTGGCTCTGGGTTTGGACCAGGTCCTAGCAGGATGGTCGGTAATTTGAATGGTGATGGGCATGTTGATGCTTCAGCTTGGTTGCACGGAAGTGACTGAAAGATGAGAATCGAGGACTACTTGAATCTTTCCTACTGACAAGAGGTTTTTAACATCGATCGGATGGACGTCTCTCGTGCCCGAACGGAGTATGTCAACCATCACGTCCGCATGCGGAACCATTTGGTTTGGATATACTTTAGGCAAGTACATATGACAATGCCTTCAGACTCGAGATATTTTGGTTTCGGTTTCACAGGTATGTCAATTGTTGTCTGTAGGTGCAAGGATTGGCTTTGTTCTGCAGATTTGTTTGTGCTACTAGAAACCCATGTCTCTGCAAACATACCATCATAAAGATGTTCCATCGTTTTCCTCTCCTAACTCCAGTCTGAGTGCACGAATAGGTGCATAACTCAAGTCTGGTACCTCAATGAAAACCTTTCCAGGGCTATTTTTGTTCTGACCGCCTGGACAGCTGGAACTCGCCCTCAATCCTTGCCTCCACAGAATCGTTTTCGGCCGATGGATCCTTCACATCAACAAGAAATAACTTTGGCCCGTACGCTTGGTGCTGAGAGACCTTAACGTCAAATTTGCTGCAAAGCTTGAGTTCACTCGGTGGATGTGAGGATAGCGAATCTTTCCCTGGCCGCATCGTCGAGTTGGTCATTTTTCGCACCTCATCTGCTGTCCACCGCTTTGCGTCTAACCTCACTATCCCCGCAACCTCTTTGATGCTCTTATCCATGGGCATAATGACGACGCGGTTGATCATCCACTCTGGAGATCCCACAAAAGATGGATCGGTCGCGGAGCCGTCTTGCCGCGAAAGGTATTGAAACTGCAGCAACAACGCCAATTTCGGGTCTGCCGAGGTTCCCTCAAGCAGAAGAATGGCAGGATAACTAAGGCCGTACGACTCTTTGATCCGTTCCTCAAATGGAACAATGGATGACCTGATCTTGAAGTCGTCAATCTTCGGATAGACTTCCACAACCCGGTATCCCTTAGGAACACTCCTCACAATGCACCCGCGCTCGAACCCAGATCCTAGGCGATATCGATGCTGTCCAGCCATAAATCGGATGAATGCGGAAGACAACGCTCCATCCAGCCACACCGTCTTCGGAACGGTCACAAGCAGCTTTGATGCTCTGGAATAATTCATCTCCAATGTGCCAGAAGTTTCGCCCCAGAGATACAACGCGATGCAGTCGAGCGGCTCACTCTTGCGTCGGCATTGCAGTGGTGCCAAAAAGAATTCTGTTCCTGCTCGTGTCCAACCATTCGACGGGCGCTGCTTCAACAGCGGTGTTGTGATTGTTATACCATTATGATCGAGATGTAGCCTGCTTTCGACACCAGGCATCCAAAAGGGGATGACGTCGCCGGATTTCTCGAAGGAATCTGGGCCAGGTGCGAGAAGTGGTTCTCTGAGACTTCGTGAGGAAATCGACTTGCGCAGCGGATCCTCCAGGTCGGATATGGATCCCCAAACGAATATGGATGGGTCGTCAATTTGTCTGATGACGGCCTCTTGTAACCTCTGGAACGCCCTGTCGCCTTCTCCGTAAATGAGGGGCATGTTGACCCCAAAGATACCCAGAAGGGAGTACGCCGTATCCTCGATTCTTGTCGTCTGCCTCCTGGAAGCCCAACTCATTCGTTGCGCCACACTCGCCGTATGCAAGGGGCGATTATTCAAGTAATCGCTCTCAATCGTCGTTGCGCTCGTTATGACCGCACCCAGCTCCGCTCGAGTGGCGATAAGTCGCCATCTCCCCCCGGAATAGAATTCAACGCGTCTAGGGGCAAGCAGTTCCTGCAACGTCCATCCGCGCGTGAACCATCGGCTGCCACGTATCCGCTCATCGTCCTTCTCACTGCAACTTGCAGAATGTGCGTGCCAGCCAACGTCCGCAAGGTGCACAAAGCAGACCTCGGCGAGCTGATACCATTTGAACATCGAGTTGATCGCTTCCGAGAGCTCTGCGCTACTACTCTTGTTGATACAGCAAGTGTCAATCCAGATCCAGGCGAATCCACGGCTGCGCGCCAGGTCACACGCGCCTTTAACCTTAGCCCATCCCGCACCGGTTGAGGGGCGGCCTCCTCCCTGGAGGTCGTCGAAGAGAACTTCTTCGGCGCCCCATGTATGCGACAAGATTGCGTACTTGGGGATGTTGTCAACGAACTCTGCTAGTTCGAAGCTGCGGGTATCTAGAAGACGCATAGTGATGGCCAGTCTTTGCGATAATATGAGCACGGCGAGTGATTGTAGCTGAATGAGGTAATTATGTAGCAGGATGTCATCTTGCTTAACCAAAGAGCGGGGTTTTCGATAGTCTAGGCAGGCACTAGACCCCTGTCCGCATGATGGACTTGTAATCACTCATGCTTATTTCTTCATCCAATGATAGACTTAGGTTGAGAAAGAATACTCAGTCGACTTAGATTATTTCAAATTATAAGCCATTCGCTTATCCTCCTGCACCCGGAAACAGTTTGATGAGAGAATTGTCCTCATACCAGACGACTCCTCATGAAGATAATCTGCTACTGACCGAAATAGACACTGTTACGCTGACCATTGAAGTCGATTGTGTTAGAATCTGAGAATTGAGTCGTCTAGACACCATCCTCATGGTTGAAATCTGAAGCTGCTTGGCACAAGGGCGCAAAACATTGTTCTAGCACCGTCTCTGCCGATATGTCGAAGCCAAGAGGAGCCGTAATGTCGAGAAGAAAACCGTTTGGGTCGTACTCTGGGTCTCTGGACACGGAAACTCGCAAGTCGCATATTGGTGAAGTATTCAACTGCTGCAAGTCAGGCTCGCCACGCAGAATGTGAGTGGACATGTCGATCCCCGCGCCTTGCGGATCCAGGGGGGTATCGGGGTCTAGCCATCGATGAAGATTCTTCAGTTCGTTCTTCACACGGGCCACTATTCCTTCCGAGGATGCGTGGCCGCCGTACGCCAGGAAGTAAAGTATGTACTTTGACTCCGCCAAATTCAGAAAGCTGCGTCTACAAGTCGATTCCGGGTTGAAAGAAATGAGTTGTAGCGTAAGAATAAGATCCAGGTCTGGCGCTCCCTTCAACCAAACAATGCATGGAGTCCCAAGGTAATATTCTCGGCCAAGAGGTGAAGGGCTGAGCGTCATGCCGAAATCAATCGAAACTGCCGTGTGTGGGCCAGGTTCTGGAAATGATGATTCGCCGTGTCGAGCAAGTAACCGCTTTATTCGGTATGACCGCGGTAATGTCCTGATTATGCATTTGTCTCGCTCAAGATTACTAGCCGACTCGACTAATAACTTGAAGGGCAGAAAGACTGAACGCAGCTTTGTCGGCACCCATGTTCTCTTCGGACAATATGCAAGTCCATTTCCCACACGATAGTAGAGTTGACTTCCCACGGACTTGTGACTGTCGTCGAAAGTGAGGGCCAGGGCTATGCAGTGGAGAGGGTCATCCTTATACTGGCATACTAAGGGGACCAGGCAGGTAGGCGTTCGTAGTGCATCGTATTGCTCCAGCGCCTTCCACACTGGACTGTCGATTGTGATACCATCATGGCCAATTTTGATTCTGCTCCTGATGTAAGGCGTCTGAAATGGCACAACATCACCTGCTCTTGCAAACGCCTTAGGATGAGGTGCAAAGAACGACGTGATGGGCCCTCGGTGTTTCAAAAGGTCCAAGGCTGTCAATCGAAGGGTGTCCCATGCGAAGATAGAATGGTCATCAACTTTCTGTATGATGTATTCTTGCAGTCTTCGGTAGGCATTGTGACCTTCCCCGTAGATGAGTGGCATGTTGACGCCAAATATGCCTAGTAGACAATAAGCGACATCTTCGGCGCGTGTCGTCTCTCTGCGGGAAGCCCAGCACATGCGTTCAGCCACGCTTGCTCGGAATATAGGGTTGTCAATCTCAATTTCCCCAGGACGGTTGCTGTAAGGCGGGTAATGCTCTCTATGAAACAAATACTTTGACTCGATCCCCGTGGCTGATGTAATGTCGTTCATAAGATCCTCACGTGAGCCTATCATCTCCCAGCGAGATGAGTAGAAGGATACTTGCCTAGGAGCCAAGAGCTCCTGCAAGGTCCAACCTCGAGTAAACCATCGACTCTGACGCAGGGTATGGGAAACTTGGCCCAAGCCGGGGTGTACGTCGGCGATATACGCAAGGCAAATCTTGGAATTTGCATACCATCGAAACATGGAATTGATAGCCTCTGAAAGTTCCGCGCTGCTAGACTTGTCGATACAGCAGGTATCAATCCATATCCACTCATAACCGAGGTCTTTCGCTACACAACATGCTCCCGTGACTTTTGCCCAACCGCTCTTTAGAGATAGATCCGCTTGTAGGTCCGAAAATAAGACCTCCTCGTCTGCCCATGTATGGGACAGAATAGCGTAATATGGAGGGTCTGCGATGAACTCTGAGAGTTGAAGTTTTGAGGTAGGAAGTAGGCGCATCGTAAGTCTCGAAGACGGGTTTGGAAGCAAAGTTTGCTGACTTTACGCATAAGACGTCTTGACTTTTGTAACGATGGTGCGATGATGATGGAGGGGAAAAGTTGAAGTTGGTCGTCAGCCCCACCTCAGGCTGAGGTCGTTTCGTTAGGTTCTTGTGCGACTTGCTGCCTGCCATGCAACCACCCACGGCAAGGTTTGATTTGCTGACGGTGGGGTCTTTTCGACACGAGCTGCATGAAGACTAATGTGGTACATGATGGCCAACGGCACGCGGCGAAGAGCATCTGGATCGCAGACATCGTCCACATCGTATTTCAGACCAGTGTGCAATACCTATAAGGAGCTGAATTTACTTACTTTCGATGCAACCCAAAACCTGCTCTTTCATTTGCGGTAAGCCTGAAAACACTCTGTCATGTATGAAGTAAGATGCCGCTAGCTTCACGCAAGCACGTAACCATGCGGAGATTTCCGATGAATCATCATTGTTATCTTGCTCCTGAACCATGGAACTCTCTGAAAACTCATTGAATTGAAATATTCCTAAGGGAGATCGATGTGGTAATCTCATAGCTTAAAACCCACCAGACCAGCTTCGATCAATCCCGCTCGCAAGGCCGTCTCAAAGCTCAGCAGTTACCGAATACTCAGTGAACATGCCCGGCGGATTACGGTGACCCAAGACCTCAGCCTTCTCGACTTCCGCTCTGATCTCCTTGATCTCCTCCTTGGAGAGCTGCACCTTGACCGAGCCGACATTCTCCTCCAGATACTTCAGCTTCTTCGTACCGGGGATCGGGATGATATCGTCACCCTGCGCCGACAACCACGCGAGTGCGAGCTGGCCCGGGGTGCAGCCCTTCTTATCGGCGAAGGTCTTGAAGCGGTCAACCAGGACCAGGTTCTTATGAAAGTTCTCTGGGCTGAAGCGCGGCACGATGCGGCGGAAGTCGTCGGGCGCAAAGTCGTCGGTGCTCTTGATCTGACCCGTCAGGAACCCGCGACCTAGGGGCGCGTACGCGAAGACGGAGATGCCAAGCTCGCGACAGGTGGCGAGCAGGTCTGTGCCTGTCTCGTTCTCGATGTCCAGCTGGAACGCGTTGTACTCGACCTGGATGGCGTCGACGGGCGCGACGGTGTATGCCCTTCGGATGCTGCTGGAGGCGCATTCGGAGATGCCAATGGCTTTGATCTTGCCCTCCCTGAGATAGAGGTATCAGTATCAGAGTAGCAAGTAGTCTTCCACGACAAGAGATCCGAGACCCGACTTACTTCTTCGCCTTGGCGAGTAGCTCCATCGTCTTCTCGACTGGCGTCTTGGGGTCGAGGCGGTGCACGTAAAAGAGATCAATGGAATCGATACCCATCTTCTGCAGACTGCCCTCAAGGCATTCGTTGAGGAACTCTGGGCTATTGTCTGCCGACATGTTCCACTCGCCCTTGTCGTTGACTGTGAACTTGATGCCGAACTTAGTAGCGATGAAGACGTCGGCACGACGCTCGGGATGCAACTTTAACCATTTCCCGATCAGAACCTCGCTGTCGCCGTAGCCGTTGGCTGTGTCCCAGTTGGTACAGCCGAGCTCCCAGGCGCGGTCTAGAATCGCCAGACGCTCCTCGTCAGTGCTATCAGAGGGTCAGAACTGTGTCCCAAGTAAGAGCACACAGCGAACATCTTACCCAACGGGTCCGTAGGCTGTACTCAGGCCCATCATTCCGAAGCCGAGGGCGGGTATCTGTCGTCCCGTCTTGCCGAGAGGCTTGGTGGGTAGAGATGTTGGAGGCGCCATGATGAATGGAGGGTCTAGGCGAGAAAGATTCAGGATCGGATGCTATGCTGGTGAATGAGCTCGGTGAGGCGACGTCAGTATGTTGGTCTATGAGCTGGAAGATGAACATCAGCTTGCCTTTATAGTTCTTCCTCCCTTTCCCCACATGCCCCAAGGGTGTAAGCAAGGTGCATTTAGCCGCTCGTTGACGATTCGAGAAAAGCCTGTTCCTGGCAAGATACGAATGCACCAAACAGTCGGTCGTGCAGGCGATCAGTCGCAAAAGTCCATCCTTGAGCTTGAGCTTGCAAGGTTGACCCCTCATCAGCGTGCCTCCAGTGCTACAGGTGCGGCGCAGCGGATGGACCCCGGTCCTGTCCCTTAAGGCCGCTAAATGCACCTGCATAATCCATGGCAGCTACCGGGGTGATGCATCTTAACTCCGTGCTTTGCCCATTCCCCCACCCATCCGTCTGTTGGCATTTTGGGGCCCATGTGATGAAGTCGATGGTATATATACTCATGCCAAAATGCAAAGTGAAGAAGGCTTGTCGTGGCATTCAATACCCAGTTTTGATGAGACTTTATGAACTTGAGTGATGAGGCCAATTGAGGGCGGGATACTGCTCACATGCTGAAGCTCGTTTGGAACAAATTCTGTTTTCAACGCATGTATGAAAAAAAGACACAAGACTTAGGCATCGGACAATGGATTGCATTTATTATATTAGTCTTGAGGCTGAAACTAGATTCTACACATAATTGGTAAGTTTATTGTTATCCGTGTTGCTTAACCTCTTTAGTTCCAGATTCAAAGTCTCAACTCTAGCCCGCATGGGCGGGCTTTGCCGAAAAGAAACAACAAGGGTTGTCTTGCTTCCATAGGTTGTCTCGAGAGCCTTGTTTCCGATGCACAAAATCGCGGATTCTCCAAGATCTTCCCTCGGCACCACTGGACAGGGATCAAGCATCTTGTAATTCCTTCTAACAACAGCTAGCAACAATCGTCAATGAGCACACGTAGTATTTTATTTACAGCACAATCTAATGTTCTTCCGATCAAAGCACCCATAACTCCTCACAACCTAGCACAGAAAACGTACAACCTAAGCACACTGCAGCACACCGACCGCAGGTTTCTCCATGTCACCCGCCCTCTGGCCTCCAAATTCTTCCAGTCCTTTGACTGCCTCCGCCAGCCCACTGACTCCCTCATCCACTAGCTCTTTGACTCCCTCATGTGCCAGTCCAGGGTACACATGCAGCTTGTACCGCTTCGCTGAGAGATGGAAGAAGATGTAGCCGTTGAAGAACTCGTCCCACTTAAGGGCGTACATGGGGTCCGACCTGGTGCGCAGAAGCCCAACCACGCGCGAGTTTGCTTCGATTGCTTCGGCAACGACGGTTTCGAGCACGGCAAGAGGTTCGCGCTGCTCGCAAACGGCTCGAGTGTTGATGTAGTTGTCCGTCTCGCCAGCGAGGGTCTCCTTGTGGAATCTGTGGCGATGGTCATGTGTCAGTGAGTGCGGCACGTTGGAGGAAATGTCCATACGTACGATAGAATGTCATTCGCGTAGTTAATATAAGTCATCATGTCCGGGATGCCCTGCATATACTGTCCGATGTTCGGGCACTGTTCCTTCGGGAAGATGAAGTAGGCATACGCCTCGGGCACTCCACTCCTGTCGCGGACATAGTCGGGCCAGCCGCTTGCCTCTTTGCAGTGCTTCAGACCGTGGAACTCGCCGCGTCTCTCGAGTAAGGTGGCGTTGACGAACTGTAACGTCGAACACACAATGAAGTTCGCCACTAGAGGTTCGTAGTATTTCGACATGTCATGTAGCACCTCCGCGAAGCGTGACAGAAGAGCGGACGGCTGAGCCTCTCCCTTGTGGAAACGCTCTTGGAAACCAGCCAGATCATCGTTGCCGGCGTCATCGTCGTCGATGTAGATAGCTAGCCAGGAGTAGATGGCGATGTGTAGTTTTACTGCAAAAGGATGGGTGGGATAGTAGGCCTGAACAAACATAGTTAGTGATGTGATTCTGGGTAGACGTCGAACCATCGGTGAACAGTGGAGTTGAAGAGGTAGAAAGACAACGTACACAGGCGAGAGTGAGGCCAACATCGAAGTACCGCTGCGCATATTCAGACTCGTACGGAGCTCCTGAAGTAGCGGCATACTCAAGCATCGCAGCTTCGAGAGCAGGCCGTGTGTTGGGATGTTGAGGCGCTTGGTATTTGAGGTCGTGGACGAGTTTTGAGAAAATGACGCCCAGCTTAGGGTTTGCCGCTCCGAAAGCCCTGCTCTCAGTGGAAAGTGCCATCTTTGAAGCTGAAGTTGAACTATTGTGTTGAGGAAATGCGGTCTTACAACTTCAAAAAGCAAACATGATCAGATGTACACTACGAATGGCGTGGTTTTAATAACTATCTTAATCGACACTACGTGACTCATGAACATTTCTGAATTTAGATCTTTTGACAACTCGCCGCGGCCCGCGGCCTTTTGCCCGGGCTCGTTACCGATGCTTTGTTTCAATCCCCAGAGACTTGAATTGAAGTCAGATCACGATGTTACGTAGCCAATTGGCTTACACGGCCCCGCACCGACGTCGTGGTACGCGTTTAGTTTAGTGTATCATCGCTATTGGCTAATTCTGGCGTCTTCATTCATGGATCTGGTAGCCTGCTTCTTATCTCACGTTCGCCACTTCAAGGAGCTTTTCCCCTGCCAACTGGGGCATCGCTTACTGCCTTGTGAACTTAGCACGTTGTCGGTCATGAACCCTTGTATCATGAACCCGAAGCGATGGCGTTGTCACCATTGGTTACACAGGTTGTCTTCAACATGTCAACTGCCCTCGGCCCGAGCGGGCCGCACCTCGCCTCTTTGCGTGTTTTTACCGCGTTTTCGCTTATCCGTACTGCATTATTGCTCACTGCGCCGCCTTATCTGCATGGAACCCAGGCGGATCTTGGCGCTGTTTCTTGCCTAGTCCGCCCTGTTTCTTGCCTAGTCCGCCCTGTTTCTTGCCTAGTTGCTTATCCCCTTGTCGCTTATTCCCCTGCTGCTCACTGCGTCGGGCTCATCTCTCCACACTCAAGCGGGTCTCTTCTCCATTCACTACAACGTCTTCGCGGGCTTACTGCCATGACTGCGCCGCAAGTCGTCAATCGCTTCGCCAAGTCGTCATTGTCGAGACTCGAATATCCGCAGCGGCACGGAAGTTATCAGTGAATTCCGCCTTGTCCCTATCTTGTTACTTGCGGTTCACCCCTCCGCCTCGGTCACGGGTTTCTCTGTGCCGATCAGTGCTACGTCGCGCTTACATGTACTCAGTCTCGGGCCCGAAGTCATCGATCCACTAATCGCTGTGCCCGCCGTAAATCGGCGCTTTAACGAGAACGAGTTATCTTGTCTACAGCCAGACAAGCTTTCTGCAGCGGAGGCGGCCGGGCGCGAAGCCAACAAGGTTGTGCTACGTCTACTATCCCATTCTCGGCTAAGCGATAGTTTCAAATCTTGCCTTAATATGCGCGGCCCAGCCTGGACTCGTAGCCGACCCTTCAGGGTCCAAAGTCCCTTTGAGTTTATGCCGAGGTTTCTTACCGTATTTTATTGAATATGGCAAGTGTTTCCTGTGGGGGTAGTACGAGTCAACATCTCTGCTGAGGGCTCTTGTCAGACCTGCATCAAATGTAACGGCAAGCACGGCCAGACTGAGCGGGGAGTTGAGCAGGCGAAGCCGATGAATACGTGTAAGTGTCTTGGGAGGATTCTGGACCGGCGATTTGCCTCAATTCAGCAGCTATCGGTGTTGCTGCCTGCATTGCCCAACGTATGTTGCCAAGTGACAAATGATATTGTGATACAACGCTCAAGAAAAGTTAAAATCACAGCCCACATAGGAATAGGCCGGCGGTAAGGGACCTCGGGTGTGAGGCAGTTTCAAGAACCGCGGTCATGTTGAGGAAGCTTCGTAGCATCCAGTAAGAAGGTAGACATTACGATAAACGTAGTAAACACGATTCAGCTAGTGCTTCGTCAACCGCAATCATAAAATGACGTCCGTCCTCCTTCGTTAAGTCTCGAAGAAAACGAAAGGTACCGCTCGAACACAACAAGCGTCACGATGGACATCAAGGACATCATCGACATCATCGACCGGGCACCGGTCCCGAGATATGTCTTACTTCCCCTCGTGGCCGTAGTGCTCTATGTTGTCTTCAAGGTGGTCTACAACTTATACTTCCATCCCTTGCGCAAGTTCCCTGGCCCTGTGGCAAACAAGCTCAGCATTGTAAGCACCATCCTCCAGAGCTTTGTTCGGCTACATCACTGACATTAGTAGATCCCCCATCTGTGGTCAGTGTTCAAAGGAAAGCAATCCTATGAGCTACTCAGACTCCATAGCAAATACGGTGAGTGCCTGATCATCACCATAGCACAACCACAGCCAGCACCGATGACTGATCGTTAATATCCAGGCCATGTCGTCCGTTACGGACCCAACGAGCTCAGTTTCAGCTCAGCCAAGGCATGGAAAGACATCTACGGCCCTCGCTCCGGCCACCAACCCTTCACCAAGGGCACCTGGTATGATGGTCTGAGCATCTACGCCGCCCAAGATATCCGCTCCATCATCACCGAGCGCGACCCCGTGAAGCATGCCGCAATGAGCCGCCTGTACGGTGGCGCCTTCTCCCGCGGTTTCTTGAACGAGATGGAGCCCATGATCATCGATTACATCGACCGCTTCGTCGATTACGTCCGCTCCAAGACGGCTGACGGCGGCACCGTGGACCTGACCTTCGGCTACAGCTCCATGACATTCGACATCATCGGCGACCTGGCCTTCGGGCAGGACTTTGGCGCCATCGGTTTGGAGGAGCCCCACAAGTTCATCCGCGAACTCAACGAGTCTTTGGGATTCACCAGCTTCATGGAGGCGGTCAAGCGATTCCCGCCTCTGGGGCCCATCGGCCGCGTCCTCTTCCGGAGCCAGGTCGAGAAGCTCGAAGGCATCGCGCGGAAGGGCGGAGATTTTGCTCTGGAGGTCATGAAGAAGCGCGTCGCTGAGCAGGATACCACCACACGCAAGGACTTCCTTACCAAAGTGTTGCAGCAGCGCGCCGAGTCCAAGATGGACATTTCGGAGATTCAGCTCGCTGCGCAGTCGTGGGACTTCATCGGTGCAGGCACTGAGACAACGGCGGCGGTTATGACGTCCACGACCTACTATCTGCTGAAGGACAGGGAGCTTCTGGCCCGCGTCACAGCCGAGGTGCGTGCTGCTTTCCGTACCAGTGCCGAGATTACGAATGCGTCCGCCGAGAAGCTGGAGCTGCTTCATCGCGTGTGCCTTGAGGGCCTGCGTCTCCCGACGGGAGCGCCGCCTATCCTGCCGCGTCTGGTGCCCAAGGGCGGCGACACGGTCGATGGATATTTCTTGCCCGGAGGCACCCCAGTGACCATCGCTCCGATGGTTGCGGGGCTTCACCCTGATAACTTCAAGGACCCGATGGTGTTTAACCCGGACCGATGGCTGGGCAAGGGCGGAGATATCTTGGAAGCGAGCCAGCCTTTCTCACTTGGTGCCCGCGGGTGTGGAGGAAAGCCGTAAGTTACATACCTCCCCGAGCTGCCCTTGCAGAGGAAGTCAGACTAATGACCTTGTTTGAATATCAGTATCGCCTGGATGGAAGTGCGTGTAACGTTGGCCAAGATGCTCTGGACGTTCGACATGGAACTGGACAACCCTGACTTGGACTGGATCGGGGAGGACTTCGACAACCTGCCGCAATATGCTTTGTGGGTCAGGCAAAACCTAAACATCAAGGCCCGGGTCGCTAGTCATTGAGGTTGTCTCTGTTGTAACTTGGACGAGGGCACCAAGGGTCGGATGTATTGCTGACTGTGCCTGACGAGTCGATGGATCAGAATGAGGTTGGGTTTGTTATTGGATGTCGTGAACATGGGTTGATGTCAAGTTTAGAAAGTGGAACCGCGGGTTGCTCCAGTCACTACATCGGTAAGGGCTTGAATTACAAAGTTTGTATATACAGAGGCGATGCAACGCTAGAGGTGACTGACTGCTACCTTATTAGAAGTTTGCCTTGGGATCTTGCTATGTAATTTATAGAGAGTTAGATGAGCAGCGTTTGTCACTGGAAGACTTCGGCATGTGTTTGGTCCAATATTCTTGGGGATTGTGTCCGCGATTGACGCTATGCCTTCGATTCACAGCACTGTCACGAAGCTGTCAGTAGGTAGGCATAAGACCTAACAAAACCAGAAGCCAGCATAGCCTGGTACGCAGATGCTTAGATACGAGGCACCGTGTATAGCTCTGCAAACACGACCGAGCAGCACTTGCAACATCCCACAATATCACCTGAGGCTGTCGTCATGTCTTGATGCTTCGTTGCGGCGCACAGTTTATCAAGATTTGGGTACATGTTTCATTCAACGTTCTTAAGAGTAATGTCGGCGGTCTTATTGCGCAAAGTTATGTCACCCGTAGACGGCATTGTCGCGAAGCTCTCCATTAGCATCAAACCCGGCGGAATCTGGAAACAAATACAGTTTAAGACATAAATATTCCAAACCCTTTCGTACTCTCTTGCCTTCTATCACAAGGCAACTCTTCGTTTCGTCTCGGATTTCTGGCCCTGAATTCCAAAGTTTCAAGTTGAATTCTCTCGTAATAAACTTTCATCCCTTCCGCAAAAGTCCAAGCTAGACTATGAGTATCGAGAGAGTGGTCGTTACAAGCCTCTTCGGTGGAAAAGAATTCTCTGCAGAAGTTATAGACTCGAAAGCCACGGCCTGGGTATAGAAGTAGGCTGCTTTATGCTGGGAATCCACTCCATAAAGCAGTCTACTTCACCTAAATGTCTAAATAAGACTAATAGTGACCCAACCCCTACATGCAGTGTTAAACCCACCAGAAATCTCATCCTAAAGCAGCCGAAATTCGCATTCTCTTGCCTCCATTCAAAAGCTGCACTGAATCTTTGCCAATCCGCCGTCTGATGCCGTCGGGCTCACCGAGTCCCTGGGCAGCCTGTTCTCTCACGTCCTTGTCCAACTCGATCCAAAGCGGCACCAGCGCATCGTCTTTCCAAGGCCGTACGTCGGGCTTCCTTGCCGTCCTAATCATCTCGGCCACCAGATAAAAGACGGAGAGCAGCACCATGACTATCTGGAACGTGATCCAGGGCCATTGCACAACGATGGTGATCTGGCTTTTGTATGAGGTTCCTCGGTACCAGGCGCCTCCCATCCTTAGTGTTGAATTTGCACGGACGTCGTTGGACAGACTCCTAGCGACCTTTGCGATGAATGAGTCCATATCGCCAAAGGCTTCATGCAGAGCCTGTCCGCGCGTCGTTCGATCATCTTCAAATTTACCACCGCCCCCCTTAGCCCTGACTAAAGATGCATTACCATTGAAGTTCCAGAGGGTGAAGGGCTCAACTACTGTGAATTCCTCGTCCGGATCTGCGGAGAATGAGTCTGGGAGGTTCTGAAAAGTCCCTCGGTCGGTGTCAAAGTCGAAACGTGATTCACTCCATGCTCCGACAACCTCCTCCCTGGTGATGCCTGCCTCTACACGCACTTGATGAGCCTCAACGCAGTACCAGAGGCCGCAATGGTATGCCTGGGGGTCTTTTGGGAGGGGATAATTAACCCATTCTGACGCGTTGAGGAAAGCCCCAATGACCGCAAACTCGCCGAATATTAAGCGGTCTTCTCTGGGGCCTCCGGGGAATGGGACCATGTCCGCTGCTCTCGGTTTTACCACAGTCTGCATTGTGAAAAATCTATACTCCAGCAGGTCTTCGACATCATCGATATTGATATCATCGCAGGGTCTAAAACCAAAAATGGCCCCGTCGGATAGAACGACCCCGCATGAGCTTGGGTCCCGGTCGAGAACTTTGATATGGCTTGTGGCGTTGTCGCAAGCGCCACAGATACCAATGGTAGGGATGATTGGCCACGTACAGTTCCCCGTTGGACAGACCACTTCTAGAAAATTTACATTTGCGGATAGGAATCCCACGCTCAAGGCAAGATCAGTCGACAATGGCACTAAGTATCGGTTAGCAAAGGTGTGTCGTTGACACTACGGTTGACAGCGAGGAGTTACGTACATTCTGTTGAGCTTCCACTTCTTACTTTGGCATCCACCATCGCTGTACGAGGAAACACGGGTCCGGGGGCTGGAAAACCGGAGTCGTCAAGATCCGGAACATTGTCAATTCGCACCGTTATCAACTGCTGGGCAGAGATGCCAATGCCCAGGGTGGCAATGGTAAGGACCCCTCCCAGACAGGCAATGTGTCTATGAAGGCGCTCATGATGTCAGGTGGAATACAAAAATCAGCAAACAAAAAGAGGCCTGTATGGTACGTACGTGCCTTTGAACCTTGCTAGAAGCTCCAGACTGCCACCCATGCCTCTAGATGCCGCTTCGAAAGCGGCGATGTCTTCCAGACGATAATCTCCCTTGCGCCCCGACATAGAATTCCATTTAGACTGGGCAAGGCAGGCTGCTATGGAAACCATGAGAGCGGAACGACAAAAGGTTGCCAGTATGGCTATGAGACCGTTAAGCGTCAAACTTTGAGCGGTCCAGCTGTCTTGGGGCTTTTTGTCGTAAAGGTAGAGGACGACGACCTGTGCGATAAGACAAATTGATGCGAAACCGCAGCTAAGTATCTCGAAATACCACCATCGAAGGAATGAACCAGAGCTCGCATGTGTTATTGGTATTGGGGCTGTATTGAAGAGCTCCTTAGTGGCCCCGTCGACTTGGTGTGCTTCAACCTCGCTTGCATTCTTCCGCCCGGCTAAGCGCCCCTCAGACAGGAGGCTGTCAGATTGGGATGGTGAGAAATTGTCGTCGACAGCGGCCTCGCGGGTTGGCGGCCAGGGCCGAGGGTCATCTGGTCGTTTGTGGATGTACGGTGTTACTACGCTCATGGCTTTTGCGGCAAGTGCAAGTGCAAGACGGTAGGTGAATGATGATCGAGAGACTTCACCACGCCGCGGCGAAGGTGGGGAAAGTTCGGTAATATAAGCGCCAGACAGGAGAGCGCGACGAACAGGGGAACACGCACGCATGGGCGGGAGGCTAGGCTCATTTACTTAAGCACTCTTTGCCTCCAATATCCGCTGATACAAGGATTCTGATTAGTGATAGCTCTGAAAACTATCAAATCTTCCCTGCTGAGTGTTTTTCAGCCCTTGCCCAGCTCCAGTTGCGTGTATGTACCCAATCTTCCGACTGTGCAGGGGGGAACCGACTGTGGATGCAAAGAGTGCTTCCGGTAAGCCCAGCTTCCGAATTCCCAGCCTTCCCCAGCCACTAGGAAAACAGAGAATAGGTGCAAATAGGCGCCTTGAGAGATCCTTCAGGCTGAGCATGCAGGCTGCCGGGGTTCCAGTTCCTTGATATGGTCATTTTGTGAGGTATGCCACACTTGCCAAGGACTCCGCTTAAGGCAGGCTGGCAGAAAAACAACGCCAACGTGCGAGCAGCTACAGCCTGATTTGCTTTTTCCGGGTGCAGTGATAACGTTCAACCGCACAATACGAAGTATATGTCCCGTAAATAGAAACAATCGTTGGCTTCACTGGTGGAATCTTAAAGTGATGGATGTGTGGCTCAAACTCCTGTAAGCGAGCCGCGTCCTCAATGGGCAGCTCTGGCGAGATATCAATCTATCTACCTATGTACATGATCGGCGCGGCAGAGACGGATGTCAGATTGTCGTTCAGTACAATCGCTTTCTTCTCGATTTCCTGATGATGCGGGGATAGGACGGAATCATTACATGGACTGGTCGGCCGGTTCATCGCAAAGCAGGAAAAGAATCAGTACCAAGTGTCCGTAAGTTGCTGGTGTTATTCCCTCGATATCTATCTTCAGCAGACGTGCAAACTATGTTGTCCACCCTCCTTACAAACGGAACGTGGCCGATAAATGTGACTTGGAGCTTCTGCAGACGGGATTCAAAGAGGATGGGATGATACTGTGTGCTCCGTGTGAAATCACGTTCAGAGCAACCGCGCACACACACAGAGCGCCAATCGGGATACCGGGTAGCAACACATCTCGACGGATTCGGGACTCAACTCAAAAGACGCCCCTAATTTGTTTCTGTCTATTTTCCATGAGTATTAAATATTTTATCTAGATCGTGTTGTTGCTTCTTCCGGCTCCTTTCCTGCACAATCATGGACGTAGGTGAGTTGCGACTAGCCAGTTCCTGGAGCATACTCCGGGACGCCGAGAATAACCCCGCTTTCGAAGCCTTTCGTCACAAAGTCAGGAGGCCATGGGGCCATGGGACATGTCTAGCTCGACGAGGCTGCCGTCAGACAGGGAATAGGTGTCGGGGCAAGAAGTTCCGGTACAGTCCAACCACGCGTGAGCAAAGGCAGGTGGGAGTTCTGGTATCTTCGTTTCTAAATCCAGGTATGGAACATCGAGAGATAAGCTACCTATGCAGACGACAACCTTTTGTTAGAATTTGAGTAAGGGGTTCATCGCCTCAAGCTCAGCGCTGGTGGACTTGTCGATAGCACGTATCGATTCGATTCCAACTTTTCCCCCAACCCTAAGCCCGATAACAAGAGTTCCCGACCATAGCCCAGCTTAGCCCAGCCTGATTTTGACACAGTTGGGTTGCTGACATCCGGCGAGGCTGCGCCATAATCAGGGGGTGTGCGGTTGCCTGATTGAAATCCTGCATGTAAGCGCCAAGACGTCCTGCTGCACCTCAGCACCGGAGTGGTGGTGGTATTGCTTAATCGCCGGCACGTCCCTGCATAGGGCAAAGGGCGTCCGCGTCGAGCTATATACATGCCACATCCCATCCCGTCCTTATTCCGTAGAATATAAGTAGATAGCAGTAATCAAAACCCTGTCAAAAGTAACCAATAGCGGATTGGAACCACCATGATCAACGCATCCTAAAGCTTCACGACGTCGTTGATGGGCTGCTGCTAGGCCGGGACCACGGTCTGACCGGAAGTCGTTCCTCCAGCGGCTTTCCTCTCCCTCCACAAGCGCACAATACGCTTCCACTCCGGCTCTTGCTTCTCTTCATCCTCAACCTTTTCCCACTTCCCCGACGCGGTACGCCTCCATTGCCCCTCCGCGTCATAGTCCGTCGGAGGCAGCTTTGCGAACACCTCTTCATACTCTCTTTCCCTCCTAGCCTTCTCCTCAGCCTCAAACAGGGCCTTTGCCTCCATGGACTCCTTCTGTGTGCGCCAGACTTTCCCTCGCTTTCCGGACGCGTTGCGTCCCCAGTGATACTCTGTTTCAAGAACGAGTCTCTTCTTGTGCTCTTCCTCATCCTCGGACCTCTTCTTCTTCTGCTTCTGGTGAGGCCCCTTCTCGCACCCGGGTTCGCTGGATAATCTGCCACAGCATTGGAAGCGTAACTTCTTGTCGTCCTGGGGTATGTCCTCGGGTAAGTCGAGGTTTGAAGGGAACCCGAGGGCCAATTGACCTTCAGTGATGGATCAGTTGTCAAAAACAAATCTTTGGAATCAACCCAGTTACCTGTGTGTCTCTCGCACTCGCGAAACTCTTGCTCCTGCTCATTCAACGTGGCACCACAGTGGTTGCATGATGGCAGCCTCTCGGCCTTGCGCTTACTGCCGGTCGTCGTTTCAAGGCGTCTCGAAGGAGCAGGTGCATCAGACATGATGACGGATCAAGCAGATGGAATCATGCAAAACGCGTGTGGAAATCCAAATGAGATTGATTCCACATGTGTCCCTGGTGGCGCGTCTTCAGCCACCAACAAACAGCTCCTGCAGCTCTTATCGATAAGCTCCAAGCTTACTGAGGGGGTACGTCACGTGGATAGCTCCATGTCTGGATTACGCTATCCATACAGATTACCCCTCCACGCAGAAGGATCTCCGAATCCCGGCCCCGATTTGTCATGCACTCCAGGTCTCCGCCACAGGGGACGCCCGGCGAATGAGAAACCCAGATGGTGACTTCAACGACTTTTTTTTTCTGCTGTCGCTTCTGTCGCTGCCGGATGCTCCAGAGGGGGCGACTCAGTTGGAGGGGCGGGCGGTGACACGAGGTTCCGGTGCTTTGGAATCTGAGGCATGACGCAGGGTCTCTTGTATATAACTTCACTTTACTGCCATCTCTCATCCTCCAATTAATCTCAATTGCGTCTCTTCTAACCAAAGAATTCGCGTCAATTTCCCGTGAAACAACCAAGACACAGCTTCTCGCATCAAACACCCCCGTCGCCATACCGCCCAAAAATCACGACCTGGATCCCAGACCCCGAAACCCCACCGCGCAGCTCCAGCAGCTCCAACCGCCGCCCCTCACCACCACTTTGCGCACCGTCGCCCTCACCCTCCTCCTCGCAATCTTCCTCTCGTACACAATGCCCTTCTCCTTCCTCACCCGCTTCACCCGCCCCTTCACAACAACCACAATGTCCCTCGCCGCCAACTCCTCCACCGGCGCCGCCCTCCCTCCGGGCGCGCAAAAGGCCACCATCGCCGCCGGCTGCTTCTGGGGCGTCGAGCACCTCTACCGCAAGCACTTCGCCCAAAAGGGCCTCATCGACGCCCGCGTCGGCTACATCGGCGGCGACCTCTCCAACCCGACCTACCGCGCCGTCTGCGGCGGCGACACCGGCCACGCGGAAGCCCTGCAGGTCGTCTACGACCCCGCGCAGGTCTCCTACCGCGTCCTCCTCGAGTTCTTCTACCGCATGCACGACCCCACCACCGCGAACCGCCAGGGCCCCGACACCGGCCCGCAGTACCGCAGCGCCATCTTCTACCACGACGACGAGCAGCGCAAGACGGCCGAGGAGGTCACGAAGCTGGCGAACGAGCAGTGGTACAAGGGCAAGATTGTGACGGAGGTGATTCCCGCGGGGCAGTGGTGGGATGCCGAGCAGTACCATCAGCTGTATTTGCACAACAACCCGTCGGGCTACGAGTGCCCGAGTCACTTTTTGAGGACGTTCCCTGAGCTGCAGGGGTGACTAGCGAAGGATGAGGGGAAAAGCAGGTTGTAATGATACAGGGACGGGATTTGGACTGGGTCTTTCTTTTAACATATGGATCATGATATCAAGACGAGGACGGGGTGGATGGGATGGCCTGTCTGTGGTCTGCGGAAGCGGGGCTAGCTGGGATATGATAGCGTTCAACCGCTTTACTGACAATTATTTTCTGAATGAACTTGCTTGAAACCATGAACTTTCGAATATACAAAAATGCTGTCTGAGGCGATACTTAGACGATAGTAAGGACCTGTTCTTGTCCAAATTTGTTAAAAACTGTGTTGCGCCACTCGTCAAACCAAGCTGTCGACCCAAGCTTTTCGAGACATTCTTCGAAGTTTTCGAGACATTCTTCGAGAGACTTACACCCACAACGACCTGCATCCGGTGGCCTGGGCTCAACCATCATAACCGCACATCCTACTCTCGAAAAGGTAGTCGTATCCTTCGATGAAAGCTCGACCCGGTTGGTCGCCGTGACTTCTTTGGTTTCTCGGCAGAGAACGAGACCAAATAATTCGAAGCTCGGCTCGTGGTCTTCACGTAGAGATAGTGGCAGAAAGTAAACTGCAGGAAGGGCCTCTCTGTCGGAGCAAAGCCTAACATCTTGCAAAAATGTCAGACGCGCATTGTTGGCCAGGCTTTCGTCAGCCAGCGTGATAGAGCATCTTCCCGCGTTGGTTGTCGAGTTGTGGGGACTCAGATCTAGTGTGGCCAGGCACAATCGTCCACGCATGGTAATGCGACCCCCAGCAACTATGCCCTTATCATCCGAGGTAAGTGGGAAGCAAGTCGCGCTTATGATATCGACCAAGGAATAATACCTGACGTCGTACCCACGCTGTCTTATACTGGTACCCCCGACGGAAGCCCAGGACCACGTCGGAGGTGTCGATAGCAATGTCCCTCGAGCTAGCGCAGGCTGCAGTCTGGGCTGGACCGTTCCACATACGTACCAATGAAGCCCTCTTAAGATGTCCGCTTCCCAGAGCCCGGCGAGATAAGAGCCGAGCGCAGGCAACTGTCGCTGAAAAGTAGTAGCGACGCCTGACAATGCAGGAAGCCGGTCAGCCTCGGAGGTCAACGAGCGAGACGCATATTTCTCCACGATCTCGTACCATGACCAACAGCCCCAGGAACGGCCCAAGGATGATGTTTCCGTCCTGAACAACCGATCGCGGCCAGATGTACCCTCAATGTAGTGGTTGCGCTCCTTACATTCACAGAAGCTCTCACCTCTTTCGTTTTCGAAATTCAACTCACTCTCCGTGAAATGCAGTATCGATGGAGACAAGATTCTTTCCTGAAACGCCCAGCCCCGGTGCAGCAGAGGCGTCTCGGTCAGTTTGAGGGGATCTCTCGAAGCCATACTTCCGTAGTACACAGGAGAGCGAACGTAGATGGGATACTGCAAGCCAGGGAGCTTGATCTCATGAACTCCTCTCCGAAGTATAGGTTCACTGCCAGTGTTTATAAAAAGCCCCTGATGCCCATCAGAAGCTCCCATGGCGGAAATGGTCAGATGAGCATTTGCATATACTGATGCCATTCCGGAAGCCTCCACAGCCCACTCCTGCGCATCATCTTGCACAATACACAAACTATCAATCCACATGTAGCGAATACCGAGATGTTTGGTGACGAGCATTGCATCTTGAAATGTCTTTGTTAGGCTTCCCCACGGAATTGACTGGGAAAAAGCGCCTATAGTTTCCGTGGTAGTCTGCAGCATTCGGGCAGCCACATCTGGTGAGCCCCAGCAGTGACTCAAGGCGATGTAGCGTATGTCATCCTTGAAGGTCTGTGCAACTGATGATGTCTCAACAAGACGAACATCAAGTGGTGCCCCCGGCCCTAGGTCGCCCTGGGGTCGACCTTCGTGAAGCATTACAAGACGGGTAGGTAAGGGCCGTAAAGGCCGTAGTCCTTCATGTTCTTGCAGCATGTAGGGCCGCCTGTGGTCGGATAAATCTTCGACGAACAGCAGCACTTGATCCAACGTTGGTAAGAAGCCACTCCAAGGTAGAGAGGGTATTGCGTCCCAAGGGCATGATGCTCCTAGAGTTTGTCTTGTCGTTAGTTCTGAGCCTGTTTTGAGCCCCTGCGTGGCTGTACAGCGCGACCGTACCTTCTGTGATGTGAACTATATATTCGTTATCCTTTAGACCGAGAAACAGAACGTGTGAATCTGGGGGCTGTAGCCGAAATCTCTTGGAACTCAGAAAAAACCCTTGTCTACCTTCCCTGTCACCATGGCCTAAACACAGCTGTTCTGTATGGCAAAGCCGCCCCCAAACATCTTTGAGGAGTACGCATGATAGGCATCCGGCTGCTGCAGTAGCATTCAGCGACCGCTGTTCCACGAAAAGACTCCCACGCCAGTCAAAAGGATCGTAGCCGTTTAGCTCTCGAGCGAGCTTGCGTTGCGGCTTAAACCAATCTGGCAAGTCCCAGGTTTTTTTCGGGAGTCGGAGGTCATAGCAGACAAGACAGGGTACATCCGGTTCTGTCTCACGTTCTTCCATCGCTTGAAGCTGGGCGTCAATTTCCTCGGACAGGCGGTTCGAAAACACTTTGCTGCGTTGTTCTGGAAAGTTTGTGGGATCAGAGCAAGAGGTAGAACTTCAGGAGAGGGGCATCGTGGAAGACGAGGAGCTAGGTAGGCAGGTGGATGAGTAGATAATATACACGTCAGCTTGCATTACCATCAGCCAATAAATCGCACCTCAGAGCTTTGAGCAAAGTCCCGAGGCATACTGCGGTACCAAGCCTAGAAATCAGGTCTTGGCGGGTCAGCCTGACCGGGTACGGTATCCCGTGCGATACGACTGGACTGCGATCGATCGACCTTTTTCCATTTTCTTTTCTGGCGAATGGCAAATTTTGTTCCAAACTGGACTTAGAAAAAAAATTACATGTTCTTGAAGATCTGAAGTACTGTATTCCACCCTCACCACATTGGATGTTACTCACAGCAGCCAGGCAGTAGTTATGCCGAAATCTTTGATACCAGCTCCAAAGGTTCAACGTACCCATCATGCCATAGTAATGGCCTCTCTCGGTGGCTGGTGTGTAATCTCTGCCGCTCCTTCGAAAATCGAAAGCACCAACTCAACCACCCAACTGGGCTCCCCGGAATTGATCAAGTTGCTTCCCTGCCTTCGCCTCCTCTCTCGCCACCAACATCGGAAGCCCACAGCCCACTCCATTCTTTCCTATATACACGATGGCACAGAAATCATGGCCCAGTGATTTAGACGAGCGTTCTGTCGATATGCTCTGGGTCATATGAGGGTTGGCAAAGTCGCCTTGCGGAGTCATCTGCTGAATGCTAGGGCCATTCATCACCATCATAAATGCCAACGTGTACACTCCATTGTCAAGTTATCAAATTTTTATTGATTGGTAATTGTACAAACGCCAGCTCCTCGCCCAAAGGCATCTCCGGAGCTGTTCATCATGAGAGGGGTTTCGTCGCCTCTGTCCTATAACTTTTGCAGCAGAGAAGAGAATGATAGGCCTTTTCTGCTGCGGGATATTTTTAAACAACCACTGCTGTCCCCAGTGTAGGTAGGTTCACCATCTTACACTCCTCCAACCTTCCACAACGTCATCTACTTCCTGCGGTTGTTCTGCATCATCAGAATCTGAACCATTCTCACGAAGATGTTGATAAAGTCAAGCTCGAGCGCAATGCTCTCGTTGACAGCATCCTTGCGGATGACTCCGCGCTCAGCCAAACGGGCGTGGTGCAGGATCTTCTGGACGTCGTACAGGGTGAAGCCGCCGAAGACGGCAAGACCGCCGTAGAGCGAGATGCTCTCCGTGATGGCGAGCGTGCGGATGGCCGTGGCGGGCAGGATCATGGGCGCGAAGCTGGAGGCGATGACGACGCCGAGGCCGGCCAGGAGGGGTCCGCCGATGTAGAGGTACTTGTCCTGCTTGGCGGTGGCGCCGACGATGGAGAGCGATCCCATCATGGCGACAGTGTAGAGGCCGGCGCGGGCGAGGAGGGCACCGGGGACCATCGTCAGGAGCGGGGCGATCATGGCGGCCTGGGTCGCGTTGAAGGCCGTCCACATGGCGTACTTGGGGATGTAGCTACGCATCGTCAGTTGCTACTCTATTCAATCTCGACGAAGGTGTGACTTACTTGTCAGGAGAGATGGCACGGGTGCCGTACATGGTACCAAAGCTCAACGCCAGACCACCGAGACCGACGACCCAAGGGTTCGTGACCATCAGGCGGTAGACGAACCCGCTCTGGATCATCTGCCTCGCGGACAGCGCGATGATGCCGACGCCCAGACCGGTGTGCAGGAAGGTGTCGTTGAGGTACTCGCGCTCGTAGACGGGCATGCCGCCGTCGTCCCTCGTCTCGCGGTTGAAGACGGCGTTGATGGCCACCAGGGTGCCGCCGAAGATGGCGCCGCCGACGAGCATCTTGCGCAGCGGCGAGGCCTTCTCGCCCTGGACGGGGGTCGCCTGCTGCATGTAGCCGCGGGCGGAGTTGCGGAAGGCATTGCGGGCGGTGAAGAAGGTCGAGGTCGTCGCGCTCGTCGCTGTCCTCCTGGTGAGGGGCGTCTTGGGGGTTGTGTGGATGGCTCGGGTGAGCTGGGGGATGCGCTGCGCCAGGCGCGGGGGCGCTTGGCGGATTGCCATGCTGAAGGACATCTTTGCTGGATGTGTGTGTGTATGTGCGGTGTAGCGGGTAGATACAAAAGAGAAGGTCCTCGAGGGGTGAGGATGTTAAAAAGAGGTTTGGCGATGGAGGTGTGTCGCCGTCGGAGGCAATGACGAATGACGTTTCTATGCTGCGGCGTGGAAGGCGGATGGAAAAGCTCGGGTGCCTTCCCGGGGCGGTGATTCTGCTTAGCTAAAGCTTTTTTCTGGTCATGTGAGTGGTTCGGAGAGAAGCTGGTGGAATTTCCCGTACGTTCTGCGCGGTGCAGCGGGTTTCCTCGCATTAACTCCGACCG